ACAATTTACTATATTGATAATAACATATTTTGTAACTTTGCATATAGTTTAGATTTTAATTTTATAAGTGATTTAATTTAAGTAAAAATAAGGACATTAAAATTTATTAATACTGTGAAATACAATATAATATTTTTGTGATAGTATTATTAGTAATAATGTATATATATAGTTTAACTTGGGGAAGGAAAATGAGAAGAAATCGCATTGTATCATTGAGGGAGATAATGGAGAGGAAGATGTGATGGGAAAGGTAACATGGTTACTTCAAGAGTCAAATAAGGAGTGGGCAGATAGTGATGTAGGCAAATCAGTGTATAGTTCTGATAAGCAGAATTATGATAATAATCGGATGTTGGGACCGTTTAGAGAAACAAGATAGATTAGAAATAAGACAGAATTTTGTGTCTAGAAGGAAAGAGGTATCATAATTACGATGGATCAGGTTATATGGTTCCGAATTGCAGTGAGACAAAATGTGGTTGTTGAAAGTTTGAACAAGAGAGATATAAATGTGTGGGTTGTGGCAAATTTGGTCATAATAAGAAGAAATCTATAACGAGCAATTATAATTGCTCAGTTGGTTTTCCACAGATAGGGATGGGTCAGAATGCTTCAAATGTGAGGACAATTGAGAGAGAGAAAATGGAAGAAGTTGGTGTACCTAATTTAAAAAAAACGGGGAAGCAAAATATTGAATTTTTAGATGACGAAAAGGGGGATATGTGGCAAGGGACTGTGAAAATTTGTGACTATATGATGGCAAAGAATCTGCAATACCGGTCGAGGTGAGGCTATTAAGGATGACAAAGGGGATGCTGTCTCAGGGTAAAATAAATTAGAGGGGGTGTGTAAATATACTTGTCCTAGAGTGGTGATAAATTTAAATGTGAGAATGGTTCCCATATTTTGAATTGAATATGATATATATCAGAATATTTGGCCGGTTGGGGGGGGGGGTGAGAGAAAATGAGGAGTTAAAAATAAATTTGATAGGACCATTGCTGCGATGGGAAGGATAGAATTTAAAGCAATATTCGGTGAGAAGGTTGAGATATTAGATTTATGGATTATTATCTAAATATAGTAGCTGTGTTGGCGTGGGACTGAATCACTTATATTGGTTAATGGTATAGTTTTGAGGGATTTTTATGGTGGGGCCTATTTGTACAAATATGAGATGAGGGATATGCAGTTATGGCGTTTGAAAGTGAAAAGTGTTGAGGGGATGTAAGACCGACTCCACTTGTGCCTATAAAGAAAGTCAATATCTTGCTAGGTCTATGTGCAGATTTTTAAGCCGTAAGTTTCCACCACTATTTTTCAAGGAGTGGAAGGTGTTTTCTATCATGTGGACGATCTTTAGGTGACTGGACTTGATAGGCAAAAATGGAGATTGGGAAAAGTATTTCGAAGAATTAAAGTAAAAGGTTTGCGAGATAGTGTGGGATGTATGTTGGGGGTGATAGAGGTGATTTATATTGGGACAAATTAACTGGAAAAAAGGTTAGATAATTTGATGCACCAGCATGTTGAGACCTTATAAAAAAGCAGAAGTCTTTTAATGAGTTGAAATGCAAATGGGTAAAGAACAGATTTTAATGTGCCTTGTGGACACGTTTAAAAGATGTAGAGGACCTTTGTTGCTTTTTTTTTGATGAATCAAAGAGTCCGGTGTTATATATTTAAGAATATTTAGAGCAGCATAAGTGAGCTAAATGTATTTTAATGAATGGACGACGACAACGTGGTAAATTTTATATTACAATTTATTATATTAATGGTAATTTATATATTATATATACCATGATTTTTAGATCAATACCATCCACACCCAAAAAGTTGAAAGTTTGATGGGAATAAAGAAAACTATAAAGAAGGGGATCGAGAAAATATTCATGATCTGAAAACATTTTTATTAATGATTGTATATTTTTTAATACTATATTTCAATTTAATGAAAAAAACGGCGGCAGTTTTTATTTTTTATATAACTTTATTTATACATATACTCAAATATATTTTATCATATTTCAACTAAAAATACAATTAAAACACCTCAAATTTATCTACTCCTTTAAAAACACTTGAGGAAAAGCTCCTACCCCCCCCCCCCCCCCAAAAAAAAAAATCTTCTGTATATGTCAGAGTTGTACAAAAGATCTTCTTTGAAGATTTTTGAGCGAGATCTAGCTCAAAAATTTGAGCAAGATCTTTGAAGATCGTAAAATTTGAAGATCTTTTTATTTTTAAAAATTTTGTGTAACGATCTTCAAAGATCTTCATGATATTTATTTTTTTACCCCTTTATTAAAAGCCCAGATGTTTTTCAATTTTCATCAAGGCAGGAGGAGAGGTATAAAACATAAAAGAAATATTATATTAATAAAATTGAAAAACATCTGGGCTTTTAATAAAGGGGTAAAAAAATAAATATCATGAAGATCGTTGATCGCAGCGATCTTCAAATATCTAGATCTTTGAAGATCGTTACACAAAATTTTTAAAAAATAAAAGATCTTCAAATTTTACGATCTTCAAAGATCTACTTTTTATTTTGAGCAAATGTACAACTCTGGTATATGTAGAGGATGTATATATGGATAGGAATCCTCTATTCTTTTTTTTATATAATTTAGAAATAATTATTTTAAATTTCTAAATAAAAAATATATATAAATATATATTTTTTTTAATTGAATGAGATACTTTATTTAAATAATAAATTTTCACAAATTTTTCATTAACGAATTATAATTAAAAAAATATATATAAAAAAAACTAATAATATATTAAAAATGAATTAAAAAATATGTATGTATAAAAGAGAAATAAGATAAAAAAATAATAAAATTTAAAAAAAAAGTACAAATCACCCTAGAGAAGAATGAATGCTTAAAAAATTGGACCAACAGATTTCCAGGGAAATTTGCTGAGGAAGATAAAATCCTTTATTGGAGTCCCCTGAAATCTGCCTCATTTTTTTCCTATAGTTTTGATGAAATTGAGAGCATCACATCCGAACATGCCTTGGAGGTAACGATTGGGATAAACACGGTATTAGTGAGGCAAGCACATTTTTTTTTTTTAGGATTCGGCATTTTCGATGGCAGAAAATGAGAGGTTTGACTTGGCGGCAAAATCGACACAGGTATAGTCCCAAGCTAAGGAGAGACCATTAGTCCAGGGAATGAGAGATATCGGGGCCTATGGCGTTTTCGTTTGAGAAGTCCACTGGTTCGAGGGTGGATGGAATATTAACTTTTTTAAGAACGCTAGGAGGATGTTGTTAATAGATTTATGACGCGGTCGTCGTCCATGAGAGAACTTGCAGTGCAAAGGATGGTAAGCTTTCGATTCGATGGGATCGCCATAGTCGATGCAAATGGAGTGAACTACGGCATTACAGCCAAGGCGTAGGGCTATAAAAATACGTAGCTGTTCTCCACTCAAGAGGAGGCCAAGATTGGAACTGGGGATGGCTTCGAGTCATTCGTAATAAATAATTAGGATTTTCCTCAAAGGGCCTGTTCGAAATAAGGTATTCAACGGAACGGGCGATCAGAGGAGCATCCCAGTCTTTTTGAAAGCTGGAAGTCGGATGGCAAAGGGTGGGTGAGCAATTGCTGTCCCAGAAGGTTAAGGCCTGTAAGAGGTCAGTGTCTGAAGGAGTGGATGCATTATCGATGATAGATTGTGCAGAAAGACGAGATGAGATAAAGGCTGAGAGGGAAAGTTGTATTGGGGATCGGACAATATCACCAGACTTGCTGGGAAGGGTGGCCTGAAGCCAAGATGAATTGGAGAATTTAAAGTTTAATATGTTTTTAAGGAGACCCTTTTGGGTTTCATGAGAAATGAGCAAGTCGCGGCATTTAAAGATAGGAGAGGATCTCAGGGCGTAAAGAATTTTAGGTATGTTGAAATAATTTTTTATTAAAAAAAAAGATTGATGAGCTGGGAAGTAATTAAATAATGTATTTAATTTGGATAAATGTTAAGGGATTTGTTTAAAAATATCTTGTTGGTTTTTTCACCTCCTATGGGTGATCCAAGGTGAGTCATCTCGTCTATGTTGATGACGTGATATTATGCCATGTCTGGGGGGGGGGGTAGAAGTGGAATTAAGGAAACAAATCTCACATTTGGGGAGGTTAAGAGATAGTCCTGTTATATGAGAGAAATTCTCAATGATGAGAGGAATGGACATGATTGAGGAGAGGTTGCTCGAGAAATGCCGTCATCAAGATACCAGGAATTTAAGGTAAGGTTATATTTAGCTTGAATTTCCTGGATTATCTTGTGAATCCCTACGCAAAAGAGAGCTGGGTCTAAGGGGGTCGCCTTGCTGGATTTCCTCTTGAGATTCGATTATGTTCTTATTGAATTTTAAATAAGAATGGCTCGAATAGCTGTGGAGGATGTAAGTAGAGTATTTGGGGTATTGGTTGCAAAATAGAGGAACGAAGTGTTGGCGTTTTATATCAGGTATACAGTTAGCTATAGTTAAACGAGCAAGGTGAGCGGAAATTTCAGAGTCTCCAGGAATACCAAACCCAAGTTTAAGTGGCGACAAGAATTAAGAAAGGGATTCCTTTATTCTTAAAGCGATGATCTTAGATACTCTCCTTCGGAAGAACACAGCTATTGGGAGAATACCTCCATCCTTTATTAAAAGTATTTAATGATATCTAAAAAACTATATATAAATATAAAATAATTGATTAACGAATCATACAAACAACTAATCTCCTATTAATAAAATAAAAATAATATACCCCCCCCCCCTCCCCGAAAAAGCAATAACCAAAAAAAGTATAGGTTTAATATCTTTTATTTCTAAAAAAACATATCATAATATCGATAAATTAAATTTACTGATTTTAAATTTAGTATCAAATTTACAGTGCTATTTAAATTATTATACATATAATACTTATAATTATTGCTTTATAATCTTACTCAAAAGTATATTTTCATGATTTTAATGTGGAGTTTCATTTTCATGTTATCGATTTTCATTATTTAGCTAATTTCATAATTATATAATATTTTGTTATGAATTAAATAAGATTGCAATCGCCTTTTGGCATACAATATAATATGCATTAACGAGATTATTCAAACCAGAAAATATATTAGTGTTTGAAGGATGATTAATTGGAAATATAAGGAAGAAAACGCGTTTTGTAAGTACATTTTACGAAGAATAAAATATTACTAAGTATATCTTATATAGCAAAGAGAAAATCGGAATCAGAAAAAATTTTACAAAAATATCCAGACAGAATACCCGTAAAATCGAATTCTAAATATATCTTATATTTTTTGTTCTATAATAGATAATAATTGAAAAAATTCCATATTCAGATGTTCCTGAGATAGATAGGCATAAATATTTAGTCCCTCAGGATATATCTGTAGCTCAATTGATATGGATAATAAGAAAACGTTTAAATATCTCATCTGACAAATCTATGAATATTTTTGCAAATAAAACTATCCCAAATTCAACGTAATATTTTTTAAAATAATTAATAAACTTTAAAAAAAACATTTTTAGTGTATTATTAAATGAATTATACTATCAGCATAAAGATGAAGATGGATTTTTATATATCAGTTATACTGCTGAAAATGCATTTGGATAACATTAATCTTTTACTTTTTAACTTAGGAATATTTTATAATAAATTTTATATTTAATATATTTTTAATAGTATTTATTACCTTTTTAATTAAATATATTATGAGCATCAATTATATTATGTACAATATAGTTTTAAAAACACATAATTTTTATGCTTTTATATGATATCATAAAATTATATTCGGCAATATCTTTTTTACACAGTTTATATACTGTTTAATATTTCATTATATAAATTTCAAATAAAATAATCAATTACTCACCTAATTATTGAAAAAAAAATACAAGAAAACAAACTTTTTATTTCCATAACTCAATGAAATGATTTATACTATTTTTCATAAATTATTGCTAATATGCAATACATTTTCTTTGTATTGGAATGCATCATAGGTTAGATCCCACTTTTCTCTCCACTTGGGTACTCTTGAACATAGGGCTACAATTTTTAAGTGCTTGAAGATATTTTATGAAAATTAATTTTTGCTATTTATGAATTTTAATTTTTTATTTTCCATAATAATGTGAATTATTAATTCTCTTCATCCTTAAAAATTTTCTTCAACTACAATTATTCTCAAACTATACATTACATACCACCCTGCTTCATTAATATATGACCATTACTTTTTAATAATCTTATTTAAAAAATAATAATGAATGCTCAAAAAAAGAAGTTCAAAGAGCTATATTGAAATTCTGTTAATCTACCATTGCTGATTTTGTTAATTAATTAGATTATGGCACATAAACTGATTTTAGATATCAATACAAATATAAACTTATTCTTCAATGAATCCTCTGTTATAGTTTGTTTATATTTTGAATTAACCTCATATGTTTTTGTAGGATTGAAAAATGAAGTGTATGTGTTGCAGTTTAGCGATATCACCAGGAGAGGATCTTATTGGAAGGTTTGATTAGCTTCATACCTAATAAATGAATATCAAGATTTAATTGATATCTTGATATTTAACGGTAATTACTATACAACCTAAGCTTTTTGTAATCACACAACCCTACACTATTGTACTATATGAAAACTTAGTGATTTTATTCAAATTTTGATTGATCCAATTAGTATTGTTAAATGACTAACCCAATATTAACCAAATATCTCAAGCCTAAATGTTTTGCATGTATAAGGCAAGACATCTATTAACAATGAGGATTGCGCCATATTTTTTGACTAGAATATTGAGTTAGCTAAAAAGATGGAGGCGTTTAACAACACCAGATCAGATTCTGTTTAGACATGTCATTTTATAAATGTGAGTTTGAGAGATTTTCTATAAAAAAACATATTCCTATTTTTATTTATTTTTTTATAAGTATTGGCTAATTATTTTTTGTCAAAATTTTTTCAATATTTATTTAAATATTATGCACATTTTACATTGTCAAAATATTAGATAAAATTAAAAACAAACCTATTATTTACTGGAAGAATCTGTTTTATTTAAAAGCTTCTTATCTTTTGAAATAAATTTAACCAACTGATGTCAAATATCAGCTTTACTATCAATTAGGCATCTAATAGAACCAAAAAAAAATTTTTTTTGACAAGGTCTTATTCATTTAACTAGAAATTCTCTCCATAGCCGCATTTGTATGGGATGTTTGAATAGTGTTATTAACATGCACCGAGTCGATTAAGGTTATAACCAAAATAATATTATATAAGACTGGATATTTTGCTCGTAGTTAGCAGAAAGGCTTGGACACATCTATTTGCTAATCTTGAGGTTTACATAAATATTATTTTGGCTAAAATTTTAATTCAGGATTTTTAACAAACACTAATATTGAATATGTATAATTGCATATATTTTTTTTTCTAATTGGAATTCAAAAATTTAATCAAATTTTTAAATGAGATAATTCTGCAAACAATGTCATAAGCTACAATTCTTTCAAAATGTTCGAACTTGATTAGAATATTGATATCTATTATTGGATGATGGTTTTAAAATTATTGTGCGTAGAGTGTTGTAAATCGGCTCAAACGGCATAACTCAATATTTTAACCAGAAAAATAATATGCAGGCCCTAAAATTTTTGTTCATAGGCGGAACAAAGAGTCGAACATCTATCAACTAAACACGGGGCTTAGACGATATTTTTCTGGCTAAAATATTGAGTCAGCCATTTTTAAAGATCGGCTCAAATCGAACCGTTTTATGCTACGACTATTTTATTTGTCAGAAACAGCTCAACGAAGATTTTAGAAATTTGTGCTGTCAAAATAAAATATGAATCATATATTACAGCTGGTTTCTATATCAATTTACTTAAATTTCGTAAAAACGTGCTTAGAGATTTTTATGAAAGTTTAAGATTCCATTTCCGTCGAAATTTTTTAATTTCGCGGGACATTTGGTCGCGTTATTCTTCGCTTGACAAAAATTTATCTGACGGGATTGTGTGACCTAGAGCGGGACGTATGGCAAGGTCTAATTTTGCTATTTTTGTTTTTTTTTTACATATTTTAAATGCCAAATTTAATCTTTGCTTTTGCAGCGTAAAATAGTTATTTCTTAGCTTATATTATGAGATGGTAAGCGAAGGTAATTCCCCAAGGAGAAAAAAAATTACCTCTCGATTTATTATTTTGCGAAAAAAGAAGGGGGGGAGGCAGGGGCTGACTGGCCATAAGACCCGGTGGGAATTTTGCCCACGAGGTCGCGAGAAAATGTCGATTTTTGAGGTCGATCAGAGGAAAATATCAAAATAGAGGCCAATTAGAAAAAAATTATTAAGTTTTACGGAGTCTAAAAAAAGTTTATTGAAGAAGTTTAACACTTTATCCCCTTATTAAGTAAAAATTTATCACTCACTTAGGCCATTAGTAATCATTCTAATTTCAGTTTAAAAAAATTTTAGAAGGATTAATTGCATTTTTTCAAATAAAAAACACACGTTGTTATTTTCTCTTTTGTTTTAAACGCGAATAAAAAACGTCTACCAATTTTAGTTAAGTAACGCTAACATTGTTGTTTCAAACAAACAAAACACGCCTCAATAAAAATATTTCTTATAACAATTTATCATGATATAGTTTTTTATATTTTAATAAAAAAACATATTATCAGCTATCATTTTTTTTTGAGTTTATTAACACAAAAATAAATTTTTTTTCTTTAAAATTGGCAGCAGTACCCTTTAAGTCATGCGTTCGCTTTTTTTAAGAAAAAAAAATGTAATTCTGACTTTTATATAAAAAAATTTTTTTTATGTCCTAAATATATTTTAACCGAAATTTCTTAACTTTTTATAAAACTGTGAAACGTGTCCAAGATCTTCCGTTTAAAAATTTTTTTTTGGAATTTTATAAATTCTTATATCAAATTGTTTTTCTACCCCCAACAAATTTAATTTAAATAACTTTTCATTTTCGATTAATATAACTCAGAGACCTGAAGGCCCGGCTCGGGTCCGGCCGTGTTTTAATTTTTTTAAAATATACACGGACCGGGTCGGGCTTGAAATTTTTTCAAAAAAATCCGGGCCGGGTCGAATATATAAAACCCGGCCCGGGCCGAAAAAAATTTTCTGAAAAAAACCGGGCCGGGCCGTGTTAATGGTATCTCTGCCGGTCTCTGATACAACTCTTCATTTTTTTATTATAATTTGAAAAAAAATATAAATTATGGCTTACTTTTTATTTTTTTGGTATAACAATAAATTTTAGGGCCAAAAATTTATTAAATTTTACAAATTTTCGAACTTAAAAAAAATTAACTAAACTTTGTAAATTCGAAAAAATTGATTCAGGCCACAATTTAATTTTTATAATTTAAATTCTCTTTTTTTATGTTATAAAGTAACGAAAATTTAACAATTGTTATTTTTAGATATTTAGAAGTATAGCCTTAAAATTTACTTAAAATAATGATTTATTAGATTATCCATTCATCTACTTCTAATCACCTATAACCTGTCAGATTTTGACAGTTAATTAATACAAAGGATGAAATTTTAGTAAAAACTAATCTAAACGTTACTTTTAAAATATATCTCTAACTCAATCCTATTCCTTACTTGAGGTATTTGCTTCTCTTTAAAAAATAAATTTCATCCAATTTAAAAAATTTTCCTTCATCTGAAAATTTCTTAGATTAATCAAATGTATTTCGATTGCAAACCCATCCAAAAGGCAAAAATTATTTTTCCCTCCAAATGATTGGGCTTATTTAGATCGTTTATTTGGTGCGTTTTTTTTGAAAATATAAGTATCATTTTTCCGGAAATGTGTGTCAGCACGCGTAGAAAATCCATCTTAGAAATTTCAGACGATATTATTAGATATTAGGGTCGGTTAATAAGGGTAACTGATTTGCTCCCGTCAATACGCGTATTGCGATCACCTTTAAGAACACAGTTAATCGGGTTAGGTCTAATTTCCGCCTATTAAAATGTGGTTAGGTTTTTTGTATTATTTAAAAAAAAAATTTGCTTTAGGCCCATACCCTACATTGAATGTTAAAAGGATGCAAATGGCTCCTACCAATTCCGTTCACGTCAATGACATATAACAATACCTAGACCGACGATACATATGAAAGCGACTTTGAATGCAAAACAGTTGAACCCGCCATTTTGGTAACCCATATAGTAATTATTCTAATGTTAAAAACTACTATTAAATTGATAACGTGCTTCCTTATTATTCTGACGATCAGGCAATTCTTTAATAAAGTTTGCGTCAGACATAGGAATAAATTGCCTCTCGATTAAAATTTTTAATAATGAAATGGGTAATCAAAATGGCGTCCCCAGCTGTTTTTCATTGATGTACACTTTTAATGAATGCACAGTCAGTCTAGGAATTATTATATGTCATTGGTTCACGTAGACATTGATTTAAACATTAAAAAAATATATTAATTAACGGATATTTAATATCTCATTTTAAATTGAAATTTCCCTTATAAAGGGGGAGGAGCAACTAGGAGTCATTTGCCTCCACGAGTAAAACAATTTTTTTTAGGGGATAAGTCGCTAGTTGGTTGTTTAACATAAATATGGACACGAATAAATTCGAAGCCAAAATCGGACTCCTAATTTTAAGGCTTCTTAAAGTGATTGGAGTGTAAGGGAAAATACTAAGAATATTATGATAAAACAGATGAGAAAATACATATAGAAATTGACACTCTAACTCTATCTACCGAGAAGGGTTCGACTCTGTTAGCGGCTACTCGGTATAAAAAACAACATACAGAGACATATGGTGAAATAAAATCTATCATTGAAGCGAATGCATGTTATGTCAGTGCCTTGACCTTTATATACCTTCCCATGTTGTTGACCCCCCCCCCTAACCGGAAATGTAATTAAAAAAGGAGGCAAGTGTTTCCAGATCAAAAGGGCATATGCTCCCCCCTCCTTGGAAAAATATTATCAATCATGAATCTAATTATATTAGCTTGAATCCTGTTTAATGGTGATTTGATATTGATTCTCCGATTATTCGAACTTTATATAGTTAATATGGCGAAATGATCATTTATGAAGAATAAAACGAAGAATATTATTTAATTTTTAGAGAAGTTAAGCAAATATTTAGATGGCATCTCAATATTTAGCAGATTTTCTTCGTCACGGCGATTGGAGATTTAGCCGCTACTTAGCCAATAGCTAACTATATTGCTTAAATAATAATTATGCGGAATTTGTGTAGTTAAAAGTATCGTTTTTGAGCCGATTTTTAAAAACGGCTAACTCCTTATTTTAGCCAGAAAAATATTGCCTTAGCCTCAAGATTTTTATAATATATGTTGAGACCTTTGTTCCTTCTATGCAAAATTTTCAGGCTTTCTTAACGTTTTTCTGATTGAAGTACCGAGTTAGCCGTTTTAAAAAATCGGCTCAAAACGAGCCGTTTAACAACACTACGCAGAATAGTTTATAAAAAATTTAGAACTCTCTTATAAGGAAAAAGTAACCGATTTATGCACTATTTTTAGAAAGGCTGATAAAAAATTATTTTATTAAACAGAACTTGGGAATTTTTCTTTTGAAACCGTAATTAAAAAATAGAAATAAAATTCGAAGACGAAACCACACATAGACAAGGGTTCCAAAACTCTACCATAAATGTCTCCTATTTTTAAAGTAATTCCGGCATGTCAAAAAAATCGGGAAGACGAGGGCTGCCGCAAATTTAAATATTTAAATTGTTACTGCACTCGACTGAAAAGATTTGGAAATACCTAACAATGGATGGCGTAATTGATTATTTTAAAATTAGCCGAAATTCGATAGGCCCATTTTCTTCCTGGCGATGGCCGGAAATGACATATTCCACTCTAATAATCCAATCCAAAATAAACAGGATCACCAGACCACGTGACCATCAGCCAGGGTAGGAAAAAAATGTGAGTTTAACATCATTATTTTTATTATTTACTTCGTAAAACATTTATACAAAATATAAAAAAATGTAATTATATATATTTTTTAAAACAGCTGATTAGCATTCAACGACGCTTTTAAATGCATTATTATGAATGCATCATACACTGCGTATAAAAAGGATTTTATTTTTTTTAAAGATCCGATACCGGAAATCGGAAACGGCCGGATATCCGGTACATCTTATATATGAACGACATAATAATGTGGATTAAAGAATTGTTTATTATATTATTTACTTACTATAAACTTATAATCAAATATAATTTTAAACGATAATTATATTAAAATTTAAATATAATAAATTTTATATAAAAACATATTAGAAGAAGGGGGGGGGGAAGGGATAAACATAAATAATGAAAAATAAAATTATATAATTAAAAGTTTCACGAGAAAAAATCTTTAAAAGAAAATAAATTACGAATATATATTTTTATTTTGATTTATGGGTAAGGAAGGGGACTTAAAATTGAATAAATTATTATAAAAATTTGATGCTTTTAAAAGTTTGCTTTGTTGATAAAAAGTAAAAATAAAACATATATAATATTTATTCAGGGCAGATTTCAAAGATACATTTTTGTGTTTTGGGTCCACAATGTCGGTTAACGATACATAATATATCATCTTTTTCAAAATTATAAAGCAGAAAAAAAAGAAGATTTTTCGTAATTTTTATAAGAATTCGTTTTTCTTTAAGAAATTTTTTTTTTTGATTGAGTAAAATATTTTCGATAAATCAAATATTTCGATAAGTTAGATTATTGGATCTTAAGCAAGATCCGGGGGAGGGAGGGGGTGAACTTATAATCATTATTCTTCTCTAACTTTCAATTAATCGAAATATTACGTCAATCCCGTCAAAAATGAAGGCCTAAATTAAAATGAAAAAAGTGAAAATTAAAAAAAAACGACGAATAAAAAACAAATGCAAGAACGATATTAAATTTTAAAATATAAAAATGTCGAAAATGAAGTTCCCGGGAAAATATTTAGGGAAGAGGGCGGTGTAAAAAAATAAGAGGTTGGGTTCGAATTTTTATTAAAAAAAATTAAAATCTTTTGTGTTTAGCTTGATTCTTCAAAAAAATAGATCAAAATTTTGTCCCCGTGATTTGTTTGTGTCGTATTTCCGGTAATCGATAAATCAGCAACAGCCGGAACCCGGACCTGATCCGGATGAGGGCATATTAAGTCCGGCGGAGTTGGCGGAGGAATGTTGGGGTCCTATTTTAATACCGTTGGCCTGGAAAACGCGATATTTTTATTTTAGGGGAATAAAAGAATAAAATATGTAGGTTTATTAAAAAGAAGGATCAATATTCTTTATAAATTGAAAAGTTTCCCCGGTCTAAATATTGGAATACTCAATTACGATATTTCAAAAAAATAAAATATTTTAACATCGTAAATATGTAGGAATATGAGAATTACCTAGACTGACAATGCATTCATTAAAAGTGTACATCGGTGAAAACAGCTGGGGACGCCATTTTGTAAGAATTGCCTGATCATCGAGTTAATGAGGAAGCAAGATTATGAATTTAATAGTAATATTTTAACATGCGAATAATTACTATACGGGTTACCAAAAATGGCGGGTCCAGCTGATTTGCATTCAACGACGCTCTTCAAATGCATTATTACGAATGCGTCGTCAGTTTAGGTATTATTATATGTCCCCGCGGTATACCTAAAAAAAAGGAGAAATAAATAATCACGCATTCACTTTCATCTGGATATGATTTAACATCTAATCGGTTCATCACGACTCTTTTGCGAAAGCCATTTTCGTAAATAAATACACTTAAATAAAAATTTCAAATTTTTGAAAATGTGTATTTTTACTTCGTTATTGATATCGAAAATTCCTTCCTGAATTTTTTCGTAAATTTCTTTGGCCGTATTTATGAAAGCCTTTAAATATATATATATAAATTTAAAATAATATATATTTATAAAAAATTTTATTTAATAAAAAACAGTTTTTTGGGGGGTAAAAAAACACCCTTTATTTTTTTGGCTATATTTCTAAATTTACATATATTATAATGGCCGCCCTTTCTCAAATTCTAAAATAGTTTCAAAAATAATTTTTTTATTTTCTTAATAAAAGACTATATTTTCGTGCAGAAGTGAATTTTCAAACCTCCTCGACGTTGGCGGCAGTTTTAGCGGAGGTTTCCATGAATACCAGGCCGTGCTCTCGGGCAAAGGCTTCTCCCTCTTCTTTCTTAACGTCTCGCCGGCTCTCTAAGTCGCTATTTTTTTTAGAGAATAGCGAAAAATTTTCTTTTTTTAACTTTGTTTCCTTTAAAAAAATGGTTATAAGTTTATAGCTAATTAAAAAACATCCATCCCCCTTTTGCTGTCAACTACCCCTTCCTCCCATCGATAAGCTAAACGAAAGGCTTATTCGAAAATTCGTCAGGAAGCTAAGATGTCTAAGGGTTCGCACCCCCTCCCCCCCCGCCCGATCTACACACCAGGAGTAATGACTCATCGACCCCCAGACTGGGATGATGAGGAAGATCAGGCCCAATAGACAGGTTCAGATGGCGAAGAAATGCCACCAGGTATAAAAAAATGTCGTTCATATGTAAGATGTACCGGATACAAACATTTTCTATTTACCCAGCCAGATCCGATTTCTAATATTGGATCTGAAAAAAAAAATTAAAAAAATTTTTTATATATAGCAAGTGGGATAAAAATTTATTTAGGGTATTTTTGTTCCGATCAACAAAATGAAAGAATATAAATTATGCTTATTAAAGTATGGGAAAATCGTAATTCTTAGAATTCGTAATAATAAATAGCAGAGTTGTTAAAGGATCTAGATATAAAAATGTGGTATCTGTATCTGGATAAATTTTTGATTAAAATATCTGTATCTAGATATTATTTTAGACGATGTATCTGTATCTAGATCCATTTAAAAAGTATCTTTTAACAACTCTGATAAATAGCGAGTCGTGTATTTTAGTTATTAGTTCACAAGGACCAGAAACAGTTGTGTATAAAAGATCGGGTTAGAGGGGTACCATTGCTTAAAATTATAAAGGTACCGGGTTCGGTCAAGGTTTTTAAAAAAATTAAAGGTTTTTTTCAGTTTTTAAAATACTTATATTTAAAATTTAAAAAAAAAACACAAAGGTACCACCAAATAATTTCATTGGTGGGTAATGAATGAATTGCAATATTATTAAATTTATATTTATGAAATTAAACCAAAAAATATATTAGATTTAAATTCGAGAAAATTAGGGGGAAAAAAAAATTACCATTATAAAATTTACTTATATAATAAAAACTTCGGGGAAAAGGTTATATCAAATATTTATGGCCTATAATATATATATACATATATATAACAAAAAAGGGGCTTAAACCAGTTCAAAAATTATTGTAAAGTTCGGTTGGCTCCCTCTTTCAGAGATTTGGTATAAAGATTAGGTCGGTCACGGTTCAGAAAATTAGAAAAATCTATCCCGGTATAATGGTTTGGTTGGTTCAGGATTTCTGTATTAGACATTTAGGCCGGGTCCAAATAGCCCCAGGATCCAGATCCAGCACATCTTCTAGTCCATACTGTGGCTCATATAAATGTTAAAAAAAACCTTTAAGGTTCGGTCGGTCACGGTTCAGAAAATTAGAAAAATCTATTAATGGTTCGGTTGGCTGAGGATTTCTGTATTAGACATTTAGGCCGGGTCCAAATAGCCCCAGGATCCAGATCCAGCACATCTTCTAGTTCATATGTTAAAAAAAAACCTTTTGTTGCCTATTAGCATTATGACCATGTTGGAGTTGGAATGTTGGTGAGCGTCCTCTAACCACGTCGTCAAATGATCGAACGTTTCTCTCCTAAATAAAATAAAAAAAATGATTTATTACACTAATCCACCCACCCCCCCCCACTACTTTTTCCCCCCCAAAAAATCTCCGGGCATAAGTAATATTATTTTGGTTAAAATCTGCCGGTTTTTAAAAATCGAATCAAATCGGGCCGTGGCCCGGTCCGATTGTCGGTTTTTAAAAATCGACTCAAACCGGGCCGTTTGACGACATATTAGTGATCTGCAAGGCCCCGTCCGATCCCTCCCGGAGTCCAAATTTATTTTGGTCTTTAGGTGAGTTAAAAATAATTTCGGTTCAGGTAGTGATAAATTTTTTTTTGAAAAAATTTTCAGGCCCGGCCCTGGTAAATTTTTTTAAAAAAACTGGATTATATCAAAATTATTTATAAAAATTGAATTTATAGATTATCGAAAATAAAGTTTTAAAAAAATAATAAAACTGTTCCGCGAGGAAAAATGTTAAATATAATTATACCTACAAAAATACGAAACGAATCAAATAATTGCATTATTCGTATTCGTTTAAATTGAATAATTCAGTATTCGTATTCGTACAAATAATAAAATGATTATTCGATTCAATTCGAAAATTTTATTTAATCGTAAATTAAAAAAGATAGCACATATTAAATTTATTTTGTAAAATTTAAGTATGGATAAAAGACAAGCAAATTTTATTAGTAAGATAATATAGAAGCATACATATATACAGTATATTTATGTATAATGTAGAAAAATCAATATAATATTCATAACATGTAGAGAAGACAAATATACCAACAACAAATTTTTTAAACACAAAGTTTTTGCAAAAAGTCAAATTTAACAAAGGAGGAATATCTGATTCGCCCGTCATTCTTGACGGGATATCTAATGACGGGATATCTACTAGTTATTTATTTATTGTGTACGTGTTATAAATTAATTATATATAAGAATAAATACTTTCTTCGTCCATCATAAAACGATTTTCGGAAGTTAATTTTGTATTACGAATTATTCGAATAAAAATAGCCGTTAACAACATTTAGAAATATAAAATGTTTCTTCATTATTCCGCTAGGAAATTTTATTAAATAGGAATAATTGCAAATAATTCCTACTAATAATATACGATTATTTTTCGATATTTATTAATATAAATTATTTTAATCGAATAATTCGATCGAATAATAGATAAAAAAATTATTCGACGAATAATATATTTTCCTTATTCGAATTCGATTCGAAAATTGTGTTATTCGTATTCGTAAAATACGAATCGAATATCGAATAACAAATAATTCGTTTTAGGTATAAATATAATTAAGAATAATCTCGAAAAATCTGGAATATTTACAAAAAAAAATTTCGAATATTTTACAAATTATTTCGAATAATTCGATCGACAAAAAAATATTCGACGGATAATATATTTTCTTTTATTCGTATTCGATTTATTTTGTTATTTCGTAATTCGTAAAAAATAAGGAAAACCAAATAATTCGTTTAACCAAACATATGGCGTTCAAAAAAGTGACTCCGATCTATGCATGCTTTTAATAAATCACAATTTTAATGAACGGATAGTCAATCAATCAATCAATCAAATTAATATATATAATTGGCGATTTCGTAAGATTAGAAAAATAAGGGTAACCTGGTGATGTCGTAGACTAGTAAGGCGCCTGCGGCTCCCCTGTAATAGGAACGCGTTATTGATCTGAACGATTCCTGACCGGCCTTTAAAAATTAATATTGTACAACATATGGATGTGGGCATCATATTCAAAGGATTCATAGCATTAATTTTCATTATTGTAATATTTATTATACGAAATGCCAATCAAAACTGTAAGTCGTCGCGGATTGGTTATTATTTAATAATAATGTTTTCGATATCAAATTATGATAAATGTAAATAAGATGCGAAATTGATATCCTAAAAAAAATTTTCGTACACTTGATTCATTTCAAATGAATGTAAAAGAATAAAGGTCAAGAAATTAATAAGATTTAAAAGAAAGGGTAGCGTTTAGCGAAAATAGGCTTTTCAAGAATAAAAAAATAATGTAAAAAAAGTGAACGTTCCCTTTTGGGAAGCGGTTATACGAAAATTAACCCATCATTCATTCTATTCAAATTATCAACAACATCAAAATAAAATCAGCCAATAAGAAGAGATGGCGGGATATTAAAATTTTTTTTTAATTTTAAACCGTGTCCCAGATCTGAAGTTTGATTTGTTTGCCGTCTATCGTGATCATGCGAGCGCCAAATTCGACTCCTATGAAGAAAAAAAAAATTGGTTAACAATCGATCATCGAGGAAAAAATAAAAAACAAACATGTAATTATTCATTTTTTTTTGCCTCTCGCTTTCTTTCATTCATTTATTTCTTATCCATTTTTAACCGAACGCTCTTTCCAATTTATTATTTTTTTTAAACCTTCATCGGTTTCGTCTCAAGAATCAGCTGCAGATTTTAATGCGGGGAGATCTGTGGGGGGGGGGGGGTGTTATAAAAAGGTCAGGCACCTCTTTACTTTGTCCAACGTGAACCAAATCCGTCCCGACCCTCTCTGCCCCACTTTTTTTCAAATCTGACCATGGTGCTGGTTCCGAATTTGAAGTGAGTCGAGCCCCCAATGACATTTAATATTGAGTCGATTGACGATGCATTCACGTTTAAAATGTACATCGACGAAAAACAGCTGGGGAAGCCATTTTGTTTACCCTATTATTTCCTCTAATGCAAGCTTTATCAAAGAATTGCCTGATCGTGGAGATAGTAGGGAACCAAGGTTTATCAATTTGACAGTAATTATTAACACGCGAATAATTGCTATATGGGCTACAAAAATGGTGGGTCCAGCTGATTCGCATTCAGCGACGCTTTCAGATGCTTTATCATGATTGCGTGGTCAGTCTAGGTATTATCATGTGTTCATTGGTTGAGCCCTAACAAGCTAGATAGAGTCGGTTTTTCCCTCCACGAGATATTTAGGATTAGGAAAAAAAATCTAAATTCAGCCTCACTCACTCGCTCACACACCCTCCCCCCCCCCCAGCCCCCGCCAAAATTTTCGATTTTTTCCTTCGCAAGAGTACACCGTGCTACCTACTGGTTCTTATTTTAGCAATTAAATGGAGATAATAAATTCATTAAAATAAATTTTTTAAAAAAAAGGGCTGAATAAACAAAATTACAAATCTAAACCTTAAAAATAAAATATAAATAAATGTATAATGAATATTTTATTTATTTTATTTTTTGTTGAAAAGGAAAAAAAAAAAATCAATAATTTTTTAAATTAAGGTTGCAAAATGTTGTAAGAAGGGGAAGGGAGGTTAAAAAAAAATCTTCTTTTTGAAATCAATCTTTTTTGACATAATTATTTATTCGTTTAAATGCCGATTAACGGGTGTCGGGTTGGAGAACTTATTGCGTCACGGGAGCTAAGAGCGGATGGGACCAATAAAAATATTTTCACGATTTTTCTAGTGGTAATTGAAAAAAAAAAATTTTATATAATTTTCTAAGTTCGTTGGTGTCAGTTTTCATTTTTTTCGTTCCCATTTGATTATACGCTTAAATATTTACCACAGCGCGTGCGCGCATCTAGGCAAATCTCTCATTATTTTTTTTTTCGTTTAGTGGACATTTTCATGTGGTTGTCAAACCATTTTCGCCCGGTTTGCCGTTGGGCCTTCCCTTCAGAAACCCAATCGAATCATCCAAGTCTACTTACCGCTTCTCGCGCCATCATCTATCGCTTCTATTCCAATCTTTACTCTCATCTCAAAGGTGACCTCCGTCTAAACCATTCTCATCCCTATTCATTCCAACTTGGCGTCGTATGTTGGGTTCAACATAGTTTATATCGCCTATATCTTGTCTCATCAAAAATACTTTCCCTCCTATTTTCGTTTTCCTTGGTACAATCCAATACAAACTTTATATAACTATAACAAAACACCCATTAATTATTTTTTTACCTATGGTCAAGTCATGAACTGGCTGGAATCTTTTGTCCGTGAATTGCAGTAGTAGGCAAGATTTACCGACACCTAAAATAATTAAGCGTAAAATTACGATGAAATAATACGAATGAACGTATCTAATACGTCGTTTAGGCCCGGACCCGGGTCTGATACCCGGCCCGGTTTTTACAAATATATATGCACCGGTTCGGGTATTTATTTATTAGACCCGGCCCTGGTAAATCTGAAACTAAAAAAAATTAAAATACGGCGCGGCCCCGTTAATATCTTATCACAAATAAAGATTTTTTTTTAAAATATAATTTTTATAAGCGCGCGTAATCCCTGGGCGACAATGTAATATTAACATTTGTATCTGGATACAAGTTACTTGGTAAAAAAATACAAAATATCATTTTAATGACTATAACTAAGTAAGTTAATTCCTTACAGATTCACCAATAAAATGTAATTTGTGTAGTACCCGCTCAGTTCACAATACTAATATCAGTTATGCTTACTATTCAATCCCCCCCCCCTCCTTCCAACTTCTTCAATATCAAGGGTAACATGTCATAAATAATTATGATTGATGAAAGTATTCCGAATTCTGTAAAGTATAGTGTCGTTTTAGGCGTTTCTAAAAAAAAGAGACTATTAATCGAGATCCTGGCCAAAATAATACATTATCTAAGCCCTGGAAACTTGATCGAAAGAGTGACCACGTCTTTCGGCTATTTCGTTCGAGTGAATCTCGAGACCCCGATAAAATATTCTACCTTTCCTAAAGTGGGTGGTCCGAATTGAGGGTTTCAAATGAAGATAGCAAAAAATGATATTCCAGCCGATATATTAAATATTAGGAATAAATCGTTCAAAAAACTCATGTCGAGGGACAAAATGGCAGCCGTATGAAATGTACTCCTCAAAATAGTGCGCACAAATTGAGCATTGCAAACACTGCGTTGAGAGCGGAAATACATTTTAAATGCCTCGTGTAAATTGGTAAAATTACGGTTCGGAGTTAGCAACCATTTTAAAAAAACGCGAACGGGTTTTGCACTTTTTCAATACTTTAATTTTTTATTCTACGTTTCGTAATATTATGTATAAATGTAATATAAATAACTTACTTATATATCCTAAAAAAAGGAATATTTAGAGATTAAAGAAATAAGAACGCAGACGATAATATAATTTTCAAAAGACAAATCCTGTTTTTTTAGAACTTATTTAAAATTTTGAATAGACGGATATGGATAAAAATACAGACCCCAATTTAAACAGGGGACCAGTGTTGTTAAACGCTACTTTTAAAAGTAGCGCGCTACCGCTACCGCTTTCAAATGAGTAGCGCGCTATTAGCTACTTTTTACGCTATTTTGATTTTTGTTTAAAATATTTTTTACCGTAACTTTATTTCCACAAGTAAAATATTGGTATAAAAACATGACTAATTTGTTACATATATATATATACATATAATTTATCTATTATTGCACTTTAATAATAATAACATTTCGATACTGTCATCCCCAAGTCTAGAGCGATGATCAGAAAGTATAAGCTTTGCCATATTAAATATTCGTTCAGCACTAGCACTTGAAGGCCACGCAGTATTAAATTTTATAAACACACTCTTTATAATGAAAAAAATCATCAAAAATATTTAAATGAGTATTTTTAGATTTAAAAAAAAGCATTTAGAGGTTCAATAATAATATTGTTATTATTTATTTCAAAAAAATTGTCTATGGAAGGCCGCGGTTTCGATATTGCTATAGTATTAGTATCGTGGTTAGGCATGGCATTTTTTAACGTTACCATCAGCCTATCAAGTTGCCCTTTAGATTCAGTCAAATTAATGTATGGCCAATTTAACTTGAAACTAGGATGAACGATAGCAGCTATTACATTATCATCATCATACAGATCTGGAAATCTAATTTTTATAAAGCGATTGTATTTATTATAAAAAAAGAAGAATACCTTTTTAATTTTCAAAATTTAAATTTATCTGAGATTTAGATTCATTTATTTAAAAAATATTAAAATAGCATTAATTATGGTAAATAAAGTTTTTAAAAATATAATTAATATACACAAGGTAATTTATAATATATTAATTTTGAATATTAATACTATATATTAATATTATAGAAAGGATAATCTATATTTTTCTCATTTTCCAAAGAAATTTCGCTATCTTCAACAATCTCACACATTTTTAATAACTAGATTAATAATGTATATTTTAAAATATAAATATAAATTTCAAAATTAAATTAAATAAAAGGATTATAATTTAAGATTTAAATAAAAAAATATATATTTTAATAATTTTTAGATGTATTTATTATGTAAAATTAGTAGCTAACTATCGCTATTTTCTAAAAAAAGTAGCTCGCTAAAGCTACCGCTACTGAAAAAAGTAGCGCGCTATTTTAACAACACTGCAAGGGACGCGTTACGTTTTTTTTATTTAAAAAATTACGGCAAAATGTAAGGGCTCAATTTGTGCGCACTATAAACTCTACTAATTAGAGGAGTTGAATGATCTCGACTATATCATGACCATAATTTCCTCTCCTTCCTCCACATTTTTAACCACTTAAAAATCTTTTTTCAAAAATAAAATGGATGCCATTTTACGAATAAAATTATTGTATATGAAAATAAATTACGTCTTAGATTTATAAACAAAAAACATTTTTAAAAAAAAAAAATTTTAAGGTTATTTTTAAAAAGTGATAGTAAAAATAATAATTAATTACAAATTCGTGTCGAAAATGTAATGATATGATTATCAATAAAAGACAAATAAATGTATGAATGATGCATTTGAATAGGATTACATATGTTCATACGTTCGTTTTGATCATCAATGTTTTCGTTGATCGTATGTTCTTGTTTTAAAACTATTTAAAGATATAATTATGAAATCGTAGACTTAAAGTTTAGTTATCCGGGCATACCAGACATGCTTCTGATTGGTCAATTTATGAGCGACATTTTAAAAATATTGGGTAATTCTATTTTGACCCTTGCAGAATTGGGCTGATGCCGGGAAAAAATCAAATTTTACTTAAAGTGCCAAATGTTTTTTTGTGGAAAATCTTTTATAAAGTAAATATTTTGAAATTTTCACACGTATTTTATATATTTAATCTTGTTATTGTTAAAATTTACAAAAAAAAAATACTAGTTGCATGTGATAAGTGCGCACAAATTGAGCGTTTACGTTTTGCCGTAATTTTTTGAATAAATAAAAACGTAACGCGTCCGTCCCTTGTTTAAATAGAGGCCTGTCTTTTTTTTATTAATATCCGTCGATTCAAAATTTTAAATAAGTTCTTAAAAAGAAAAGGATTTGTCTTTTGAAAATTATATTATCGTCTGCCTTCTTATTTATTTTAATTTTCTATAATATTCCCTTTTTTTTGTGGGATATATAAGTAAGTTATTTATATTATATTTTTATAAAATATTACAAAACGAAGAATAAAAAAAATGTATAGAAAAAGCGAACCTGTTTGCGTTTTTATTCTAAAATGGTTGCTAACGCCAAACGGTTAATTTTACCAATTTTGCACGAGGCCATTTGAAATGCATTATTCGCGCTTACATCGCGTTTGAAACGCTAAATTTGTGCGCACTATAATGATCGTTAGCGTTGCGAATGTAGGATTAATTAAATTGATATTTTTGGGAAAGGCCACCAAACGATTTTTGACATATTAAGCTTGACAGGTTTAAAATTATTACTCAAAATAAATATAACTGATTTGATTTAAATCGCGATTTAATTGAAAAATTGATTTTAATTTCCGCCCTGTTTTTACATAGTATTGGACATCTAGTTAGTATGCTCTGCCTAACACTTATAGGATCCATTTCGAAACGATTATTTTCTAGAATATTCATCCCTTTACACCTTTTTTTAATCATCAGAGCCAGTAAATTGTATAAGAAAAGCGCATCTATTAAAAAGAGTTATAGCAAAGTATTTCGTCAGCTGATTTTATGCGTTTTAACTGTAGCTAACACTTGCAACCGTGAAATTAACCATCTTTTCAAATTGTAAAATGTACTTCATTAAATAAAAAATAGGAAAGTACCCATACCTCCTCAATATGAATAAGGATATCAATATAATTAGGAAAGAAAATATGGTATAAAAATTTTATCTATAAATCGCAATATACTCCGATTTAATTTAAAAAAAAATCAATGATTTTTTTTGACTTTTTCGTTTACAAAGAAAAAAAAATGATTGGATTTATATCTACCCTTAATAATTCCCAAATTTTACTAATCACATCTGTTTCCACCAAGTCCAACAATTCTCACCGGGTGTTAGCCTAACGCCGAACCCTTGAAATATATGACCTAAGACGTAATCTTTTGCCACACACATATTAGGAATCTTTTAGGGAAAGAGGGGCTTGATTTAATCAAATTTAGATAGGGGGAAAGGTCATTTTTGCCACTTTTGACCATTGATATCTCAGAAACTACGTGTACTACGGGGTTAAAATTTCTGATGGGCCGATTTTTTTTTTTTAAATTTTCAGGCCCGACCCTGATTTTTTAAAAATATTTTTTATTTACTCGTGATTTTTAAAGCTAATAATGGCGATTTCAAATATTTGGTTTTAAAAACCGGGCCCGACGATTTCAAATATTTGGTTTTAAAAACCGGGCCCGACGATTTCAAATATTTGGTTTTAAAATACCGGGCCCGGCGCGGGTAAATTTAAAAAAATCCCAGGCCGGGCTTAGGCGCGGTTGAGGCTCCTCTGATTTTAATATAGGTATCACTTTTTTATTCATTTTATTTTACTTCATTTTTTAAATTTGGCACATAATTTTTGATCATCCTAAATGATTTTAATTTTTATAAATGCATTGCATTATAATCCTAAAAAAAAATTTTTTTTTTTAGCATAACAGACTTTTAAATAAAAATCAATTTTAATGCTGTCAAAATTTAATATAAAAACACATCTCTTAATTAATTTGTCACATAATTAATAATCAATAATGAGTCAATATTTTTTTGCAAATAATAAGATTGACTCAGGATGCAATTTTTTTTAATAAATATTAATTTTCTATTTTTTGTTAATATATTAAAAATATATAATAATATAAATTTTTAAAACTTTAAAATTTAAATTATTATAAATAAGCAAATACTGAATAAATAATTCCACAAGGGAAATCGAAGGTTTAAAAGTAATAAAATGGCTGCAAATTTGCTGTTGAAGATTTATTTTTCTCTGGGTCATATTTTTGATATTATTTTTTTATTATATTATAAAATTTGATTTAAAACAAAAAAAACAATTGGAATTTAATCAAATAAATCGATATTTTTAAAAAATTTTATAAAAAAAAAAATCAAAAATGGAGGAGTATAAAAATTAAGGTAGAAATGTAATAGAATAACTATGAGAACTCCATTTGGAAATTCAAATTCGGACTCTTTTTTTCACGTGATAAAACTCACGTGGGTATCCTGAAAAAGGTTAAATTTTTACTCCTATAGAACATAGTAAAGTAAGAGCTTTTGGATGACCATAAATGGAATAAAATGTGATTGCAGGCTAGATCATAATATTTATTGATAGGACAAAGTTGATATAGATATTAAAGAAAAAAAGGGAAAATCCCTAGGTTGAGATTCTCCAACCCAACTGGATTAGCAACATTGGACTTTCAGATCAATAATAAAAGATTTGATTAACCTATCTGAAAGGAAAAAATTCTTAAAGAGTCGCATTCACTCTTATTATAGCAAATGTGATGGTGAGACTTTTAATGACTCAAGGAAATTGACCAGGCATGAGAACCTAACCTTGAACCCAAACACTCGATATTTAGCTGAACTCAAATCTGAACTCTTTTTTTAAATAATAAAAAATTGGTAATTGACGATTTTCATTTATAAAAAAATTCCTATTTTTTATTCAAAAAAAATTTGTGGAATCATTTTTGTTATTTTTTAATAATTGACATATTTTTTGTAAAAATTTTACCCAGCAAAGCAAATTTTAAGTTTTTTTTATAAAATATATAAATGATGATAATATATAATAATAATATCTATTTTAGGATGTTGTTGTTTGTGAATTATTAAATTCAAAATATATTATAATTACGAAGATAAATTATGTTTTTATGGCAATACTAATTAGAATAAACTTTTTTAAATAAATGATACTAATTTTAATTAAGTCATTATTTTTCTGGTCTCCGAACCCTGAACCCAAACCTGGCTCAGATGTTTTTTTTACTGATCCCAGAACTTATTTTTTTTTAAAAGAGGGTTCACATCCCTGATATTAACTATTGCACTGTAACAGTCATAATTGTGAGTTAACACAATAGCACAACCTTAGTTAAATGGCATGATTTGGGTCATTTTAAAATGGCCGTATTAAGATTATCATGGCAAGATAAAAATGTTTAAGCCTGGAGATTGTACATAGGTGGCAGATAGGCCTAATAAACTCTATTTATCAAATCTATAGGCTTACATAATATTATTATGGCTAAAATTTATACCCAAATTGGGTCATTTAACATCACTACACAATCAACACAAGGCTGGCAATTTTCTGCCTGAGAGAATAATATCAAGCAAACCTCTGAGAAGAGAGTTGAAACATTTTTATAAGTCTTAGTTAAAAATTAATGGACAAGGTCATTATTTGATCAAAAAATGTTTATTGTTTTCCAAATAAAATAGTTTTTATTAAGTATCACATATTTCATGCATATTCAATTGATTTAAAATACTATAATATTATAAATGGTATGTAAATTGAAATGATAATTATTTATAAATTGGTAATGGACCAGTTAGGAAGATTTTTGACTGTTCTAATTTTTTCTTTAGCAATAAATATCAGCACAGATTCAATGCTGAATATTAATATGAGTAGCTCTAATTATCTTGTGATATATTTTAGTAAATTATACAAATTATATAATAAATATATAATTGCCAAGAATATAATAATCAAAGATTTTCAAAAATCTGAATTTTATATTTGGCTCAGATTTGAAAAAATAATTTTTTCTTTAAGCCTAGATCAGCCTGTTTTTATTTTTGAGCCTAGTTTGAGATTTTTCTTTTTCAATTTGTTGTTAGGTCCAAAATTTTTATTTTTTGAAGAATTGTCTATATTTTTGCAAATGTTTTAAAGAGAAATTAAGTATTAAATATTGGATCTTCTAATATTTGTCCAATGATAAATTATTTTTAAAAAAGTATTCGATTTTTAAATTTTAAGCTTAGTCCAAATTTTTAAACTCATCTGACATCATCTAAACTGGGCCTAGGTCTTTGATACTAATTAAATATTTATCAAGAAAATATGTAAAATTTTCAAAATAGAAAAATGGAAATTAATATAGATACCTTTATATTGTAATCATGTAAATTTAAAAATGAATTTAATACAAACCAAAATATTTAAAGATAAAACAAATATATCAAAATTGTTAGCTCTGCATATAAATTTGTTGAATAATAAATTTTTGATGGAAAACATAAGGATCATAAACTGAAAATAAATAATAATAAAAATTGAAATAAATCTCACCAATTAAAGATAAGGTTCATGAATATGATTAAAGATAATTCAAAAGCAAAGTTTTATGAATAGTAATAAAAATTGTGTACTAATTCAATAAATAGTGCTGATTTATATATATAATTGAATTTATATTTAATGAAGAAAATTAAAATCATGATAAAAAGTTTAAATGTATTAACGTCCTTAACAAGATATATTAGATAAATTTAATTAGATTTTAATATATAACATATTTATAAATAATTTACCTGTGTCACCTATAATGATGTATTTGAAAAGGTAAGCATAAGACATTTAAATGAATTGACAATACAAACGCAGAATTAGAATATATTGAATAAAAAAAGCAAAAATCAATATTTAAAAATTTTGACTACACTAAACAACACTAGGAAGAATAGTGATTTATCGATTTGTAAACAAATAGTTAATAAAGGACCTATAATATTATGCTATTATAATTAATTTAGATATTATTTGTAAAGGAAAAATATTAATTAAAAAAAAGGAGATGCCTATAGCATAATGTTAGATACAATACATAATGTGACCATATGAGAAAGTATAGCTTTGCTCTTACGTACGGCAACAACCTGAAACACATAATGAACTCTGTTTATTTCTTGACTATTCAGTTGGGCAGAGTAGGAAGGATGTAGACTATATGAGAGTAAACTTAGAATGTAGGCTTTAATATGGATTCTCTAAATCATCAATATACTGTTCCATGTTCATAATCTATTTATTAATTACTCACTATGGGAGGGGAAAAAGGGGGAGGGTGAAGTTGAAATAAAATAAACAATGGGAATATTGGAAGTTCTATATTTACAAAAATTAGGCTAGAGTCAGCCTTATTTATTAATATTAAAATAAAATGTTTAAGAAATGTCTAAAAGAATAAAACTTTACAATATAAATATCTTATTTTTTAAACTTAAATTCAGAAAAGGGTTATCATTCCAGAAAACCTTGAACACATTAAAATCATTAAATTAATTTAAAGTTTCGAATGACTCAAGCAACTTTAACATTATCGAATTATTTTTACGAATCAATGGTAAAAATTTTATCTGAAATTTTGAAAGAACTATCGAAATGTATTCAAGAAACATTTATTGAAATGTAGTAAACTTATATAAATAATTTTAAAATATAGCTGATGACTAGACTAATCCCCTTATACTAAATTATAAATACACAGATTTTTTTCAATCGTTAAAATATACATTCATAAACTTTTAATAATATGAAATCAATGCCGGAAATTATAATTAATATTGCTGATCCTGATGTGTTATATTTAACCTCTACAGGTGATTATATTATAATTTAATATCTATAATTATTATACACTATATCTAATTAGCGAATTTATTTATTCATATATAATCCTAGATTCATTTCCCTTTCATAAGAGATACACCTAAATCTCATCAATCTCATCCTACTTCTTCTGATCGCTGCCCACCATACCGGTCAGCAGATTTCCGCAGTAATCGCTTTAGCGTCTATAATATATATTGTGATAACCCCTTACGATCTAACTATTCCATCTATGCAATCTGGTTCAATATGATGTGCCACTCGTCTCCTTTAACATGATTGTTATTTAATATTTCAATTTCTTATTTTTATTTTCTTAGGATGTATATACGAAGTTTAATATTTTTGGTGATTCATATATTAATTTATTAATAGAGAATAAAATCATTATTTTCTCCTTAAATTAATTTCAATAGAACCATAGGGATAAAATGAGGCAAATCTCTGGGATCTCAAATGAATAATTTTGCCTTCGTCGGTTGATCTGTCGATTCAATTTTAAGCATTCACTCTTCTTTAGAGTACTTTTTTCAAATATTTTAAAGTTTATTTTTATAATATATATATAATTTTCACTATAATATTATTTGTTTTTTTTAAAATTTAGTTTAATATTGATCTTATTTTTTTTAAATTTTGTATTGATAATAAAAGATTAACAAAATAGTAAAAATCAAAATATAAAAATAAATTTGATACTCATATTTATTTTTTAGTAATTTTAAGGATATTATATAAAATTGCACTTCTTAAGACTTTCCTCTTGTTTATATTTGATATAATAAAAATATTTTTCTATTACCACTTTTTTTAATACAAAAGATATTTTTTCATATGAATTATAGTATTTTGTTTTAATTTAAAAAATTATTAACTCTTACTTTTTTCAAATTATTGTTTAGGTATATAAATACATTTTTGGGGGTGAGGAGGCTAAGTAGGATATTTTTTATCAACTTAAAATGATATTTATAAAATGTCAAAAGGGGAATTTTCCCAAGGCACACCCCGCCCCTGTCTACGCCTATGCTAATAAAATAAAGTACAGAACCAGATGTGTGTCAATTCTTTTAATTTTAGATACTTTTATTTTTAGTGTCTATCCCTCTATTATTGACAATAGTCAAAACTTAATCTTCTAATATTAACCCAGAGCTAAATTTTATGTCTTTTAATCACCATAAACCTTATACTTTATATATCAACATTTTTGAGTTGAATGTTCTAACGTTAACTTTTATTGAGTAAGTTTTTTGTATAACTTAAAGAGTATCGACATTTAAATAAATTTTATTTTTATTCTTATTCAAATTTATATTTATAGTACATATAAATAATTATTTTGATTTAATTCTAATGAAATACATATATAAATAATTTTGTGATTGTAAAAAAATAATAATAAAACCATCCAAAGAAAGAGAGATTTTTAAATTTAGGAGTATCGCCTTTGATAGCGATACATAAATAATTAATTTTACTATTTTTTCTTCTTTTTCTTTAAAAAAAAATAATTAAAACATAAATTATCTTTACATTTTATTTTTTTAGCGTATTAAATATTATTCATCATCCATCTCTTTCAAAATTAATATATCTTTTTAATATAATTAATTTTATCAGATGATATAAATCAAAAATGAAACTCCAAAAAATAGGATGCAAGTATGTGTTAAAATCTCGATATGGGTCGATTTTTAAAATAAGGACTGATTTAGATTTTAGCCAAAATAATATTGTGTAAGCCACAATTATCAAGTAAAAGCCCTTATGCCATCAAATAACAAAATAATCAGGGTTACACAATATTATTTTGGTTATAATCTTAATCCGACCACGGGCTTTTTAACAACACTACATGCTAGAATTAATTATTCCAGAAGGAATTGTATTATAATATACCACTACCCGTTTTATCATAGAGGGAGACAACCGTTTTATTATTATTGATCTAAAATCTCAGTTAGAAAGCCATAATCTTTAAAATAAATCTAATACCAATTAAATTATTTAACAGGTGACAGTTTACGATTTTCTCTTTTTTTTATGCTGGCACAGTACATTCTTTATGAAATATGTTTTAAATTTTCAAAAATTTTTTCGTTCTAAAAATATAAGTGCAATATTTTTGAAAAATGATTTAGATTATTTAATTAATAATTCTTATAACCAAATTAATGATAATAATAATAATCAATATAGATATTATAGAGATTATTTTAATGATAAATTTATATTTCCTTTAACATTTTCTTATATTTTATTGGCTTACCCAGTTATTTTTGCTACCAAAATGGATAATAAAAGTTTTTTTTATAAAGATATGTAGATTAAATATATCCATTCTTTTTAGATTTAGAACAAGTGATACAAGAGGCTGATCAAATGTTTGCACAAGATAAAATATTTGAATTATTTATCTTTCTAAATGATAAAGTGGTAATATATATCTAAATTTTTTCACCATAATTTGAAAAACTTTTAAGTTAAATCAAGTTAGATTAATAATAAAATTATTTTAATGAACATTTGTAATAAAGACCACTTGCCATTATTCATTCAGTACCTTCATTATAAAACATGATGCACTAGATTTTATTTTTTCACTAAAACTGGATTTTTTAATTACCCTGTAGTATAAAACACAATTTTTAATGATATATATAAATGTATCATGGCAGCATATTAAACTAATATTAATTACAATCAGAGTTGTTAAAAGATACTTTTTAAATGGATTTAGATACAGATACATAGTCTCAAAAGTTATCTAGATACAGATACAGCATCTAAAAAGTTATCAAGATACAGATACAATTTTTAAATGTATCTATATACAGATACATTTTTATTATGCTCTTATAGGTTTGCATAAAGCTAAATTAATATTATATTGTGAAAATTCATGAAATGAGCTAAAAAATTTATTGACGCGATATAACATTTATCAGAATATAACTAAAATAATGATTTTAATATAATATATGAAAATATATGATTAAATAATTATAAATAATTATTAGATTTCAGTAATAAAATATTTTCAAAATTTTGATCATTTAGGCATCCTTCGTTTATCTGTAAAGACATTTTTAGCAACACTAAATAGTCTTTCCACAGGGGCGCTTGAAGGAATTGTAGTGTTATATTTAATAAATAACAATTTTATATCAGGGTATTCTTTAAAAATGCTAAAATCTCTACATTCATTTTTGAAAAAATTATTTAAAATTTGTTGATTATCAAAATTTACATTATTAGAAATTATATCTGCTGTAGGGCACTGAAAAAAATCTGAAATTAAATTATTTGTTTTTTTTGGCAGGTTATTTGCTTGCAGTCAGTTGATGACTTTGATAATTCACCAGCCTATCTTTGTATCAATTGTTTTTTTATTAAGATTTTCTTCCATTTGCAACCATGTCCAATGAAGTTTAAAAAAGGGTGGAGCATGGTTGCTATAATATTATCATCTTCACATAAGGTCACAATAAACCTAGAATTATTAAATATTTTTAATTTTATATATTAATTTACCTATCCTCAATCCCTTTAAGTAAGGCATCTAAGAGTGGTAAACAGATGAAATAAAATAAATTTTACAGTCAAATATTTTTATTTACAATAAAAAAAGGGGTATATAAAATGTATCTTAAAAGTATCTAAAACAGATACAGATAACTCTAAAAAAATATCTAGATACAGATACAGATACTTTTCTTAAAAATCTATCTAGATACAGATACTACATTTTTATATCTAGATACAGTATTAGATACTTTAACAACTCTGATTACAATACACTAAACTAAAATATCTAATATTATTAAAATATATTTTAGCATAATTAATTACATTTTGGTTATAATCATCCCTGCAAATTTATCATAAACCTCTTCAGTGTTGGACATTTAGACCACTTGCATCCTTTTTAGTATTTTATGGAACATGGACTTAACATTACTTTAATTTGCACTATGTTGAGATATAAACTACAAATTTATAAATGAAAGTATTTTTTTTAAAGGCAAAGGATTATATATTAGGTGTGATTTGTAGTTATAACTTATGTTGATAGTTGAGTTAGGTTTATTGTTAAAGAAATATTTTTTGATCGTTCAAATGACCCTGAAAAGGCTCTTTGTGTTTTGTATGGTCAGTATGATAGAAATACTTACCAAGTTATACATGATTTATCATTATCTCTTGCCATTAACACATAACTTAATATTTTATTTTAATTAGTGGTTGGTCAATATCTTTTATCACCCATAATAATTTTCTAAAGATGGTCCTTATAATATACCTTGAGGCTTAGTTCCTATATGAAGAAACATAGAGAAGAATTTTCATTGATAAATTTAGTTGAAAGATTTGGCTTAAAAGTTTTGGGTATCCTAAACCTTAAATCTAAGACTTATATGATAAAAAAATATAGAATGTTATAAGGTTGAATTTAATTGAATAACTTACTGTTAAGTTTTTTTATTCCTATGTGAAGATATAAATATCTCAATTTTCTTCTTATACTCAAAAAATATATTGTGGTTTCCGAGTGTCGTCTATGGCTAATATGCTGTTGAACTTCGATTGCGGAATCACTTTATAAACCTTGACGTGGGTTCGAATTCTAGCAAGGAGCAGGTTTGGTTCTATACAGGAGATGATATATAGAATACCAACTCCATGTATGTTCATTACCCTGCTGAACACCATAAGAGCTACCCCTCCCCCAATAAAATATGCTAGTGATTAAGAATTATTTTTGTATTGATTAATGTTTCAAAAAATCTAAAAGGAAACCTATGCTCAAGAATGCGAATACCTGTGGAGATTATCACGATCTTATTATCATATCTCAAAATGGATCTCGAGACAGAAAAAGGAAAAGAGAGTACCAACCAAAGAATTCAAGCAACTCTCCAAATTGTTAGCGGTTTCTAATCAATTCAACCTACATGCCGAAAGTAACAACTTTCCACTCCCTCCCCCTTCAATATATTGAATTCAAATTTTCTAGTTGGTTATTTGATTTCCTTTGTTGTTGTCAAAATCATCTGAGGCTGTGTCAACGCTCAGATGATTTTCGAAACTTATTTCTATTTAGACTTAGACTATTCAGCCTTTATGCCACATGGCGCCCTATTCTGGTTCGTGTTTTAAGATATTTTGTTTGGTTCAGAATAGGGTAAATCATAGTTAGCCCCTAGTGTTTCGCTATCAGCTGTTTGGGGGTGTTATGTAGGAGGCTAAACAGGCGGCTCTGCGAGGGGTTGATAAGGCCCAATTCACGGTACTGTCCTTTATTCCGTATAACTAATAAATTTATCTCGAGACCTTACTTCCTTTAAAGAGGAGCTACCTCTTCCTAATATAGGGTTCCTAGATGAGTAGGCGCCATTTCTCTTAAAAAGTTATTTCCCCTCCTTACTTAATATACTTTAATATAAGCGCCCAAATGAGAGGCCTACAGAGGTTCGAAATTTTTGGGCCAGGTCCTGGATTTGGAAGCAAAAAAAAAAGAAATCATTATTATTATTTGGCCCTGCAGATTTAATGATTTTTGGATTTGTATTTTTCTTTAATCGCTTCGTAATCGTGACGCTAATTCTTTCGGGTGGGAGAAATATAATTAACAATACGTGAGGGATTGACTGGCCACACTACTCGTGAAAATAAATGGTAATCTTAAACGTAAAATTAAGCCCAATAAAACGAGTAATTTTTAACCTATTTTCTAACTCTGCGGGAAATGTTATTAATATATATCAGATGTATGTTAAGTTATCGGATTCACTAAAAAAGGAAATTATATCGCCTTATAAGGTTAATGGGACAGTAAGATTCCTCGTTAGCAAAATTTATGCCAAAAAATTGTTGTTAAGACTTCGGGGTCAGGTAAAATAATCGTTTCTGATCAAAATAAGTAAACTGTATCTTAGACTATTCTTTTATGATCTTGATGTACTTTTCTGTTCTTTTCTTTTCGATTCTTTTCTTTTCTTTACATTTCTTTTCGTATCTTTTCATTTCTTTACTTTTCTTTGCTTTTCTATTCTTTTCTTTTCTTTTCTTTTATATTATTTTCTGTTCTTATCTTTTCGATTCTTTTCTTTTCTTTTCATTGCTTTTCTTTTCGGTTCTTTTCATTTCTATTCTTTTCTTTTCATTTCGTTTCTTTTCATTTATGATCTTTTCATTTATTTTCTTTTCTTGTCTTTTCAGTTCTTTTCTTTTCTTTTCTTTTCTTGTCATTTCATTTCTTTTCTTTTCTTTTCTATTCTTTTCTTATATTTTCGTTTCATTTATTTTCTTTTCTTTCTTTTCCTTTTCTTTTCCAAATGCTGCAGATAGAAAATCCTGAAGTTCCCTATCATCTTCCCCAACCTCACATGGGAAATTTTCTTCCTAAAGTTTCTATCATTCTTTTCAAATTAAAAAAAGCATTTTTTTTGTATCCAATTTTTCTTTATTTTATTAAAAGTCCAAAAGTTACACGCAACTAATACAAAAATTCATTTCACATAATAATAAAATAAATATTTTTTGGTAAATTTTTTGTTTTTGTTTGTTTTGTCGTGATTTTTTGATTTTGGAAAAAAAAATTTAACGAACGGATAAATGATCAATAAAAAATATTATATTGATGTGTAATATGTAAGTTAGTAGTAGATAGTGTTGTTAAACGACTCGTTTGAGCCATTTTTAAAACGGCTAACTCAATATTTTATCCAGATTAATTTTGACTAAGCCTCTAGATTGCGCTAGTAGATGTCCAAACCTTTGTTCCTTCTACAAGCAAAATCTTCAGGCTTGCGTAATATAATTCTGAATAAAATATTGAGTTAGCCGTTTTAAATTGGCTCAAACGAGTCGTTTAACAACACTAGTAGTAGATATGTATTTTATTGATGGCTCAACCCTGCCCCGTTCATCCCATCCAACCCCGCCTCCCATCATAATAATTTTAATCGGTAAATTTTTGAAACTTATATGTTTATATCCGGTTTATAAAAAATCACGAATGATTGATTAGGTTTTTATCCGTTACTTTTTTTTTCGTTTACGCGCGATTATTACCGCGTTAACGCGTTTTCCCATGGCAGTGAGATAAATTTTAGCAAAAATATTTTTCATTCTTTTCTTCTTCGAATCTGGCTTATATATATACGCGTACTATATACGCGTACTATAAGCGTGCCAGCCCCTAAAAGACTCTTACCGAAATTTTACTTCTCCTATAGCAGTTCAATGACATCAATATTAATAGCTAGACTGACAATGCATTCATAAATAATGCATTTGAAAAGCGTCGTTGAATAGCAAATCAGCTGGAGCCGCCATTTTGGTAAAGCCTATATATTAATTATTCTCATGTTAAAAAAACTACTATTAAATTGATAACTTAGCGTCAACTTATTATGCGTCAATGATCATGGGTCTAAACTGGCCTCTACGTTTAAGATTTGGGTTTAATAATGACTTACTGGTAATCAAAATGGCCTCTCCAGCTGTTTGCGCAATATAATTTTAGATAGGGCTTTTTAACGAGACTACTAAAATACTTACATTTTTTTCTTCTTTCTTTAAATAAATAAAGCGATGAACGAAAATTTTATCGGCGAAAATACCGATAAGTCTATCGAAATTTTGGCGAAGGCGGGATTGAAAGCTGCCCATCAAGCTATAAAAACGAATGAAAAAAACGCCTCCGCTCACAAGGTTTTCCAGCTTTTGCGATTCAATTTTAACGATATTAGGGTCATTCCATGTCAAATGAGCAAAAAAATCAAGATTTTCGGCCGACCCCTTTCAATTTTGATAAAAAGTTGTAGACTGGTTATATATGTTTCCATTAGATTATAAACAAAATTTTAGCGCATTAGCAACTATATTAACGGAGATAATCGGAGTTAAAGGTCCAAAAAACGCCTTTTTTTCCTTTTTACTGATGTTAAATAATTATTTTAATTTAAAACTAATTATGATCAAATATTGAATCTAATATCAATAGCTAAGTTAATAATTGATAATTATGGCGAAAACATCAAAAATAATTTTTTTTAAAATATGGGTCATCTTATGGTCAGTTGAAAACTTGAAATTAATATTTCGAAATGTATATGATCTCCGATTTTTAATTTTTTTAAGAAATATTATCCGTTTACTATTTTTTTAATAATTTCTTTAACAATTAGCATGGCTGGGTATTTATTTAAAAAAATATTGCGATTTTTATACTTTAAAAAAAATAGATGGCGCTATATATAATAGTTTTAATATGTTAAAATTCATTTTTTTTATTGATTAAAAATATTTTAATGTAAATATATCATAAAATTCGATTATATAACTTTGTAAACCTTATTCCCCTGAGATATTCGCAGGATAAAAAATTTTAATAATTTTTTTAATATTTCATTGTAAATTAAAATAATTAAAAAATCGGACTAGCACACGAACAAAAAAGCAGGATTAAAGGGGTGCAGAAAAATTATTAAGGGAAAAATCGAAAATCGCATTAATTACCAGGCCTACCCCCTACCCCCTATCCACCCCCTCCCCAGACTAAGTCATACCCATTAAGACCAAGAATGTTATGAAATCGTCATTATCTTACATTATTAAAATAACCAGAGATAAAGAAAATTTCAAAGATTTTGAAAAATTTTTTAAGCAATAAAAATAACAAAATTATAGTTCTGATGAAATAAGCCGACTCATGCCTGGAATAAAAGATTGTGTATCTGTTAAAGGCGAGAAAGAATTAGCAAAGATTTATATTAAATAATCTTAAAGAAATATTCAAGATGTTTAAGGAAGAATACCCAAGTATATCAATTGGATTCCCTAAATTTGCCGATCTTAGACCAAAAAACTGAATTTTAGTTGGATGGCACACACACTGTTTGTGTCTGCGCCATTCATCAGAATGTGAAATTAATGACAAATGTAATAGCTGAAAGTACAGCAGGAGAAGATTACTGTATAAATTCTTATAACAATCTTTTGGCGCAAATTATTTATAATCCATCTCAGCCAAAATGTTATTTAACAAATTGTGATCAATGCCCTGGTATAGAATCTCTTATGGGCCAATTATACGAATTGTTTCAGAGAAATCGTATAGAATATGTCACGTTTAAACAATGGATCACGGTGGATAGAGCAAATCTTGAAACTATTATAAAGTCCATTGATGGTTTCATCGAATATCTATTATAAAAAGTTCAAATTTTACTGCGTCACTCGTTTATAGCTAAACACAAAGTTTATTTTTGAAGAATTCCAAAGAAAATTTAAAAGATGAGGAATTTTCAACAATTCTAGATTATTCTGAAAATTATTCCTTCATTTTACAAGATGAAGTTCAGGGATTTCATTGGAACAATGTGCAGGCCACTATACATCCATTTGTAGCATATTATAAATCTGGAGAAGAATTAAAAAATATAAATTTTGTTATTTTGTCCGAATCATTAAGCCATAATACTAGTGCAGTCCACCTTTATCAAAAAAAATTCATTAAATTCTTAACAGCCAAATTTCATTCTAAACCATAAAAAATAATATATTTTTCGGATGAAGCCGCGTCTCAATACAAGAATCGCAAAAATTTTCTGAACATATGCCTTCATAAATACGATTTTAATATTCCTGCCGAATGGCATTTCTTTGTCACTGCTCACGGCAAAAATGCATGTGACGGTATCGGAGGAACTGTCAAAAGATTAGTTGCCAGAGCTAGTCTTCAAAGGCCAAATAAAAATCAAATCCTAACCATTAGAATTATATAATTATGCTAAAGAAAATATTAATATTCAATTTGAATATGTATCCAATCAAGAATATATCGAAGAGGAATTAGCCCTTCGTAAAAGATTTAATTCTGCACTGCCCATACATGGGACCCAAAAAATTCACGGGATTATTCCCATTGATCAAAATAAACTAAAAACCAAAATATATTCTAATTCCAAAAAATATAATATAAAACAAGTTCCGTTTTTAAATGAGAAAATTATATTTTAAAATATTAATGAATATATAACATGTGTATATGATGATAAATGGTGGTTAGGATATATAATCCATAAAAGTTATACAAATGAAGAAGTAAAAATACGATTTTTACACCCTTGTGGACCTTCAGCCTCATTTAAATTTCCTCTGAAAGATAATATTTTAGTGTTGCCTAAATCTCATATTCTCTCGCTGGTCAATCCTTCTACTCCCACCAGTCGAACATATATATTATCTCCTGAAGAATCTCACAAGCTAGCCAGGCTTTGTATTCCTTTAGATGAAGTAAGATTTAATTAATTTATAAACTATCTTAATTAGGCAAAATTTGTGAAGATTTTAAAAATTTATGATCTGAATTACAAATAATATATATAATGCACATTGTAATCGATTTAGTATGATATATATACATTAAAATATTTTTAAAAAATAAATTTTAACATATTAAAACTATTATATATAGCGCCATCTATTTTTTCTAAAGTATAATAATCCCAATATTTTAAATAAATACCCAGCCATACTGATTGTCGAATAAATTATTAAAAAAATAGTAAACGGATAATAATTCTTAAAAAAATTAAAAATCGGAGATCACATACATTTCGAAATATTAATTTCAAGTTTTCAACTGACCATAAGATGACCCATATTTTATCAAAAATTAATTTTGATGTTTTCGCCATAATCATCAATTATTAACTTGGCTATTGATATTAGATTCAATATTTGATCATATTTAATTTTAAATTAAAAACTAATTATTTAACATCAGTAAAAAGCAAAAAAAGACGTTTTTTGGACCTTTAACCCCGAATATCTCCGCTAATATAGTTTCTAATGCGCTAAAATTTTGTTTATAATCTAATGGGAACATATATAACCAGCCTACGAATTTTTATCGAAATCGAAAGGGGTCGGCCGAAAAGTGATTGATTTGACATGGAATGACCCATTAATATTTTAACCCACCTAGAATTCAGGATTAATTCATTTAAAAAATAGTGTATAACGTACATTTGGAGAAGCTATAATGCATGTATACACTTTTGATAAATAAAGCGACAGGTTTAATTGGCGCCGATTTGTGCCGGATCCAATGTCAGCTTCCGGTATACTGGATTCAATATCCGGTTTCGGCGACTATGCTATAGCTTATTCAGCTTTATCTATTTTAAAGAAAAAGATTTATTATTATTTAGTGGTACGGAATCTCTCTGCAATCCAACCTCATTTACCAAAGCAAGAATATTCAATTGGGCACGTCGTTCGATATCAAGAAACATTTCGAGGTTCTTCTCACGCATTCATTCATTCTTACATACATATTTATAACTTATTTCCCTTTTTTAAAAAAAATATAAAATATGTATATATAAAATAAAATAATTATATTATACGGACATTGACTGACACCTCTCAACTTTGAGTACCATGTAATCAATCAGTTTAAAAAATGAATAGAATCTAAGATCTGATTTTCGGGTAGTTCCGATTACCCTTAATCTCTCCCAATTATTGTTAGTCAAAAATGAATACTACACGCTCGACCTAATTTGAAAGATGATGGGCGTGGAGGCAGGGTGATTTATTCCGATAAATTCAACTCTTAAGGATTTATACGATATTTTTCTTTTTAGAAATCGATCGAATTGAACCCACGTGACCCCACTACACATCATTGCCTGGGATGCTGGTTAATTTTCATTTAATCTTTTTTTTTTATATCTTTATAAACACTCCTCAGCCAACGTTTTCGGACAAGTGTGACGTAAAACATTTTTCGAACGGGTTCGAATTGGCGAACGCGTCGAACACGATGACAATACCTAGACTGACGATGCATTCATGATAATGCATTTTAAAAAAGCGTCGTTGAATGCAAATCAGCTGGACACGCCATTTTGTGGTAATGCGTATAGTAATTATTCTCATGTTAAAAAAAACTAACTATTTAAATTGATAACTTGCTTCCTTGTCACCTCGATGATCATCAGGCAATTCTTTTATAAAGTTCGCGTCAGACATAGGAATAAATTGGCCTCTCTTTTAAAATTATGGATAACCAAAATGGCTACCTCAGCTGTTTTTTTTTATTGATGTACACTTTTAATGATGGTTCGTCAGTCTAGGTATTATTATGTGTCATTGGTTGAATGACGTTCCCTTTCATTCATATTTAAATATATATATATATATATACTTTTTGAAAAAATTATTTATATTAGACATAAATAAATGGCCACAATAATAACATCATTCTTATTATTTATTTATTTTTTTTGACAAAAACATCAACATTTAAAATATAATGTCAGTCAAATGCTGCACTAGCAATCGATTGGCTGCAATTTTGTTTTTTCCCTCTTATTGAAACTGCAATATACACCCGTATCATTTTGACTTTTACCGGTGGAGTTACTGTAAACATTTTTTTCCGTCCGTGAACCATGTGAAATGAACTAACCTCCGATACTTTCTCAGAAGTTGTTTGGTATGTATCAGATGGGAAAATCTTAGCATCAGCTAGTTCTGTAGACTTGTTTCTTAAGCATTTTAGCTGCAACTCTTTCCTCAAGTTTTTCAAATGCCAGTTTCTCGGGGCACTTGATGAATTTTTCCATGGGTGTCAGGTCGGTCTTCTGTCGATTTTTTTTAAAAAAAAACAGCTAACTCAATATTTTGTCCAGAAAAAATGTGACGCATGCCTGAAAATATTTTGCTCATAGACTTGTTGTCCTGTTCTTATATTTGATTCATTGATATAGGTTCGAAGTGGATAGATATTTGTAATTTAATTTAAGAAGAATAATTAAGTGCAGAATTCCGGCCTTAAGCCCTTACTCTGGCCGGGCCGTGCCTGAAATTTAAAAAAAATATTCAGGCCGGGCCTTATATTTTAAAACCTCGCCATTATCAGCTGTAAAAATTGAAAAAAAAATAAAAATATTTTAAAAAATTTCGGGTCGAGCCTGAAATTTAAAAAAACCGGGCCGGGCCGGAAAAAAATTGAGCCGATCCGGGTTGTACAAGTAGTACCTCCGCAGGTCTCTGCTATATTGTTCAACTTTATCAACGAAAAAGAGAGATGTTATGGGAACCATTTTTGTAATGAAAATTAGGGTTAAAATATGAGAAATTTAATTCTATATTTTTGTATGACGAAAAATTCGTTATATTAAAACGATCCCCCCCTTTGTTGCTTATAAAAGATAGGTAAAGCAATGTGGTAAGTTAAACCGGAAGTTAAAGGCTCAAATTGGCGCCAATATTTTTTTTTTAAACCTATAAATATGATATTGTTATATATATTTATTTTTTTTACTATAAATAGTTTTTGGGATATGAGCATTTTTAAAAAATCTTACAGATTCCAAAGTTCTTACAGATTCCAAAGTGGCTCCTTTTTCCAACTCTGAGCCCCTATATCTCGAGAACCAGAGATGTGCTAGCGAGCTAAAATAAACGGATTTCTCATTTTTTTCTAAATTACCTTAGCTAAATAATTCCAGGAATTTTTTTTAAAACAATTTTAGAATGGGTCGGCCGAATCGTGATCGATTTGACGTTGCATGGCCCAATTATTTTCATTCATAACATCTCTCTCTTTAACCTTATTCATCCCTGTCAATTCGTTCACCGCTGTTCACGGTCATGCTCGTTCGTATCGTTGTCTATCGTTATCGTCCCGCTGCGCGTGTCGTAACTAGTTTACTTTGTGCCCCCCATTCTCGTTCTTCTATAGTTTTATCATCATCATCATTTATTGTGTGTTTTCATGGGTTGAGTCAGAATAAGAATATAAGAATTGAATGCTATTACTCTTCTTATCCTTATTTTTTAATTTTATTATAGTGCCCACAAATTAAACATTTTTGCGTTTCAAAACCCAAATTATACATTTGTAAATGTATTCGTTTGAATTGAGCATGTTTGCGTTTTGTATTTTAAATTATTTATATGCGTTTTGAAACGCCGCGTTGAAACGTTCAATTTGTGCTCACCTATTATTGAAATATACTTTTAAAAATTGCATTAATTTACTTTTTAAAAATAATATAACGTATTTTAAAGATCATTTTAAAAACGTTTTTTTTTTTTTGGAAATTACCGAAAAAATGATTTGGGACACATTAAGCTTTTACGTTATTTTTCTTTTTCTTTTCGAAATTATATAAATTTATATTTTTTTTTTCTTTAAATTTAGGACACGGCCTAAAATAATTGATTAATCGAAAAAAAAACAAAAACAATAACGAATAAAATTAAATGTTAGAATGAGAGAAAAGGAAAGGGAATAATCTTGATATCATATAATCTGTTCGTTATAATAGGCATTACGAGATCGCCAATCTGCCGTGGTACGTGATATCGTTCGCGAGCTTTATGGGGACGCCTTACAACTCGACGGTAGAGAACGCCCTCACCTGTTTCCTGCAAGCCGAGAAGGGTAAAAAAATTTTTTTTTGATAGGCCTAATAAATTTGAATGGATGGATGAACGAAGAAGGTTATACATCCCCTATAGCAAGACCATTATGCCTCGACCCTTTAATTTGCGCCCGGCCTCAGTAAAATTATTGATAAGTCAAGCCTCACTCGGATTTTAAATTAATTTTTAATACCGGACCTCAATTTTTTAAATTATACTATTTTTGTGACTTCCGGTCTGGATAAGATAAACTGGCCAGACTTGGGCCTGCCCTTCTCGGAATTTGTAAAAACTTCTTATTTTTGTTAATATATTATGTATTTCTTTCTTTCTTTCTTTCTTTCTTTTCTTTCTTTCTTTTCTTTCTTCTTTCTTTCTTTCTTTCTTTCTTTCTATTTTAAGTAGCATCTATTAAATTCATTGCTTAATTAAATAGGAAATTGTTTATATCTGAAAATATATAGATTATTTGCATATTATACTTATTTTTGTTGTTATAATAATAAATGAACATTACCATTTGATTAGGCTTATTTTTTTAAAAATCATTTTGTATATAAATAACATGATAAAGTTTGGCTATATAACAAGCCAAGGATTTAGAATAAAGTTATTTTCAATAATTCAAAATATTACCTATTCAATCTCTATTACCTTTTTAAGTCGTAATACAACAGAAATAACTTTATAAAAGGTACTATATATTAAAATAATATTTGCAGAAACCTATAGTTTAAATAAACCATCTTTCCTTAACTCTGGAAGTATAAATAATTCAAATGAAAGGTTTTCTCTAATAATGATTACAAAGTGAATAAGTAAAAACAGGAAATAACCTTAATTAGATTTAGTGAACGAATGAATAAAAAGGACATCACGTCAGAGAATGAATGAATGAATCTATAAGAACATTATTTTTTTAAATTCATATTAATAAAATATATATATATTTTTTTTTACAAGTTCAAGAAAATTTTTATAGCCAAAATTTGTACATGATAGCCTGCGCTTATCAGAAAATGTCTGACTTCAAAAACTGCCAAATTTATTGCGATAAAATTATGCGAACGTTTAAACCCGGGAAACCCGAAGATACGGAAGTATTTCCATTCATTAACCTTTTTTTCTCTTTTATTTCCTCTCCTTCCTCCATTCTTTTTTTTTTATCTCTTTTTTTTTGCCCTTTCTTTTAAATGTTTTTCATTCCATTTTCATAATTTCTTTTCTTTTTTTTAAAATTATTTTATTTATTTATCTATTCAGGGGCCGTAACTAGAAATTTTAGGAATCTACAAATTCACCTTTTGACCCCTCCCTCCTCATCCTTTCCCTCGTTACGGTCCTAGTTTGGCTCCCTATTTTTCTTGGCTTGTGAAATGGTTCACGCAATAAAAATATATCCTCAAACGCTCAGAGCGGATCACTTAGCGGCGTCTTGGTTCAACTTATCACTAAGGCAGCCTTTATTGTTGTTAAACGGCCTCGTTTTGAACCCAATTTTTAAAAACGCCCCAACTCAATATTTTAGCCGCAAAGATATTGCTTAAGCCTCGAGATTCGAGATTTTGATAATATATGTCTAGGATCTTTGTTCCTTCCATGAGTCAAATCTTCAGGACTTGCGTAATATTTTTCTGGATAAGATATTAAGTCCGTTTAACAACCCTAGGCAGCCGAATGTTTGAAGTTATAATTGCGTCGAGCCCATAAAAAGTAAGACAAAAAAAAAACAACTACGCCAACAACCAAACTAAAAACAAAACCGAAATATAGTTGTCCGATAGTATTTCTGTTAAACAACTCCTTTTGAGCAAACGGTTAACTCAATACTTCATCATACAGAAAGAAATATTGAACCCAAGCCCAGAAGATTTTGCTCATAATAGTAGGGTCAAAGGTCTAAACATATATTATCGATATATATATATCTTGAGGCTTGGGTAATAGTTTTTCTGGCTAAAATTATTGGCTCAAAAACGAGCCGATTAAACAACACCATTGTCCGAATTCAAATGTAGTTTTAGCGTATAAGTATCAAGAATAAGACGAAGCACCACGTGCTCAGAATTATTTCTTTTAATTGCTCAAAATAGAATATATTAGATGTTTCACGGGGGTATAAATCTCAAACGCTTTAAATTGAAATAAAGGAAGCCCCCTGAAAGAGTTTTAAGATATGAACATATATATCATTTTTAATGAGATTCACTTTTGACGGAACGGATGTAAAAAAAAAAAACGCGTCCGTCTCCATCTTTGAATGCAGCCTAAAAAATTTTTTTTTTTAAAATTTCTGTTGAGCAATTTATGGGGGGGGGGAAATCTTAGCATGCCAATTTTCATTCTAAACTAAATCAAGTAAAGCCATCCTTTCTTTCGCGCCATCGTGGTAACAATTTCCCCGCCAAAAAATTTCAATTTTTATTCAACTTTTTTTATATTTTTTTAGGTTATAGAGAAAACCAAAGTATTGAAGAATTCGCTGGAACAGGGAATACCTAAAATGCCGATATCAACTTAAATGTCCACTCATATATTATATTTTTTTTTTCGACACCTTTTTTTTTTTTTACATAACAATTATCATATAAAACATTTCAAGATTTTAACTTTAAACTTTGCAATTAAAAAAAAAAATCTATCATTCACTTTTATTTCGGCTAAGTTTCGTTTCATATCACTTTTTTTTATATACTCACTCATTATATTAGTAAAACTCTAAAACAAATCAATCATTTTATTTTTCTTTTATAGGTATTGAGGTTCGGTTTTTTTTAATGGATGATTCATATTGCCAAAGCTTTCCAATTACCATAAATCTTCATCATCGGACACTTATTCTTCCTCAATTAAAACTTCACTGCTGAATCGAAATTCTTCCCTGTTTCTTATAGTATAATACTTTTTCTACAGTATTTTAAAAAAAAATTTATATTAATTTATTAGATATTTTTTGGGGGTTAAAGCTTTGGCAACGATCCTTTTAACGGCTATATTCTAAATTTAATCTTACATTTATCAATGTCAAAGTCAACCATGTCGCTCATATTTTTTTCTTCTTCCTTTCACATGCTCAAGATCCAATAATTTTATTTTATATATGAAAAATTAGTGCAATTTTTATAATATTTTTAAATCAGTATTTATTTATTTTTTTTGTGAAAATATTTTTTTTCACAAAAATGTATTTTGTTTTAAAAAAATATCTATTTAAATGCTTCCATATTTTTTTTGAAAATATGGTTAATTATTAATGTTTTTTTTCTTTCATTATTGGCATTCATTTTTTTTTTGGAAATATATAATGTTATATTTATTCATTTATTGAAAGATAAATATGGATAAAACCATAAATGTAATGTTAACAATTTGTAATTTCGCATTTCATTTGAAAATTTATTTAATTATTAATGTTTTTTTTTCTTTCATTATTGGCATTCATTTTTTTTTTGGAAATATATAATGTTATATTTATTCATTTATTGAAAGATAAATATGGATAAAACCATAAATGTAATGTTAACAATTTGTAATTTCGCATTTCATTTTTAAATTTTCTTTATTTCATTCTTTCCTTTATTCCATCAAAAAATAAGACTCAAAGTTTGTAATGTTAATAATATGTAGTTTCGCATTTTATTTTTTAAATTTTCTTTCTTTTCATTCTTTCTTTCTTGCTTTCTTTTCCTTCTTTCTTTCTTTGCTTTCTTTTAATCGGTGCTCTGATATACATTCATTTATTAAAATATAAATATGAAACCATCTTTAAATAAGATTCAAAGTTTGTAATGTTAATAATTTGTAGATAAGCATTTCATTTTTACATTTTATTTATTTATTTCTTTTTATTTCTTTCTTTCTTTCTTTCTTTCTTTCTTTCTTTCTTTCTTTCTTTCTTTCTTTCTTTCTTTCTTTCTTTCTTTCTTTCTTTCTTTCTTTCTTTCTTTCTTTCTTTCTTTCTTTTAATCAGTGCTTCAACTCAGGATAACTTAATCGAATCAAGAAATCTTAACGAGCCGTTGTAAATATTTGCGAGCGAATTTAACGTGACGGTTTTTAGGAAAGAAAGAAATGGGGAAAATATTTTAAAAAATATATAGATAATATACACCTGAGGTATGTGATATATATTATAATAAATTAATTTTTTTTAAAAAAATATCTTGAAACTTAATAAAAACCGAAGCGAACCGATATAAATTGTTTGAAAACTGGGATGCACCAAAACTACCTCCTTTGGCCCCGTGCCAATGCTAATCGATACCATGAGTATTGTCTGCCTGAAAAATAACCGGAAATGGAACTTTGAAATAAAAAACGGAAATAGCGGTTTGACCTATCACTAATGATTGACATGATATCAAATTTAAATCACATTCATAATATCACATTTCACCGAAAAGCACAATTTTTTTTTTTGTTTAAAAAATAAATAAATATAAATTACATTACACAAGTATATAGGTGTAAATACATTACACTTAAATATTGTAAATATAATGACAAATAAATATGATTTTTTTTTGTTCTATAACATATTTAATTTATATCTAAATTCTGATTGGGCTAAAATAAATTTAAACGACCATATCGCTTTCCGTCGAAATGTTGCAATTTTTGGAATTATTTTTCGATGAAGCGCGCAAAAAAAATTGATCATTATTATTATATATGATATAAGAGGGTGAGCAAAGTTTAAATTTTTTTAGGATCTGGCTTTTCATTGATTTATTTTTATGATTGACATATCTAATTTCAGGTTCGGGATATATAGGTAAGAATTATACACTGGTAAAATATTTTTTGCCCGTTACCTAATGAAAAGTAACGACTCGATACTCATAAAAAAAATATTATTTAAGCAGTTGAGGTTAAAAATAATGAAATAATTTGTTTTTTTACTAGCCTTAAAATTTTTGTAAATTTTTTATAAATATATGTACAATAAACATATGATTTTGATTGGGTAATTAATGTTGTTGTCGTCACGAGATGAGGAATCCATTAGAATTCTTAATCTTTCAAATATAAATCTTTTATTGAGGGCGATTTTTTTGTATTTAAAAAAAAGTCGTCTGATTCGACCGGAAATATATTATTCGTTACGGTAGTGTCTAGAATAAATATCCTCATGAATTATGACAAAACAGATGAGAAAATACATGTAGAAATTGACACTGTAACTCTGCCTACCGAGAAGAGTTTAACTCTGTTAGCGGCTTCAGAAAAATTTTCGCCAGCAAATTTTTGCGTATTATTTTGCAATTTATAATGATAACATATTATATACAATATATAAATTGAACAGAAAATAAATTTAGTTCCAAAAGTTCGCGACACCCAGAGTGCGGATATTTCGTGCGTGCCGGAAATACGTTTTTCGGTCAAATCAGAGTTTATGCAGATAGAAGATTCGCTCTTAACAATAAATGATTTAAGTTCGAGGGATTCAGAATTCGCATATCCCAATGCGATACATTATCAATAAAAAATAAATGTTTTTTGTATTAAAATTGGTATCTATTGTGCTTCAAGGTCATAATAAGAATAATTAAATGGTTTGCGTCAAAAAATGTTAAATTTTTATGCGTCACCCTAATTCGAAAGTAAGGAAATCAAGTTATAATTGGTATCAATACATCTTTTTCATTTTATTTTCGATATTTCGAGATAACTACAAAGGTTTAATCAGACTAGACGGGTTTATTAATATTTTTTAAAAATAAATTAGAATTAGACTTTGATTTAAAAAAAAATTAAAAGAATTTTTTGGCGGGAATCGGAGGTAGGGGAATTTTGATTTAAAAAAATATTTTTGGCGCCTTTGGAAAAAAAAAAATTGAATATAAATTTATTTAAAATAAACGGGAGAAAAAAATTTCACCGGAAATTAAATATAACAATGTTTATTGTGACTAGATTCGGACACGTCCCCAGGACATGATGAATTGGGGAAATGAGACTTGAGTATTGAGAGGGCGGAGTACTTTGGCCTTTTCTCTTTTTCTGCCGATTTTTTTTAGAAGCGAAAACAGTTGCTTTAATCAATAATTTGACGGACGTAATATTTTTTCTTGGTACCGAATTATTTATATGAATATGGAAAAATACATATTTTTTCTTGTTCTTGCAGCTTTGAAGATTTTTGGAAAAAAAATAGAACCTTTTGAGTGACGGTAGAAGGAGTGGATTGACAGGCATCCTAAGTACTTTATTGTATGATAACAGTTTCTATTTCTTAATAAAGTTCTTGAGATGAGATAAAATTGGTTGGGTTAATTGATTTTTTTATAAGCCTTCGAGATCATATTTGCTGAATAATTGATATTCTTAGCTTTAATTGTATATATTTAGACCCTGTCCACTTTATATTACGTCAATGGCAAACTTTAAATGGCTATCAGACATTGGCCGGAAAAATTTTCGAATTACTTAACACGCTATAACTTGGCAAGGTGTATATGGTGGTCCTCTTCACGTTATCGTTACTATCAATCGCGTCACGATTATCATCTTTGCCAATCGGCTCAACTTTATCATTCATTCGTTTCGCGAATTTTCGTTTGGCTCGCAACATGCCCCAGACAATGGAATAGGGGGATATTCTTCTGTCGGCGTAATGTTTATCAACGAACAAATCTGGCCTCAGATGCTGTGGGTGCTGGCCATTTAAGTTACTGTTATTATTGTTAAAATTAAAATTGGCATGATGATCTAGCAATCGGGGCCACGAATATTTTTTTCCGTTCACCGTGGACGCGGGCGATCTTGGGCGTTCTAGAAAACCCTCACGAAGTTCGTCTTCAAGCTTCGCGGAACCATGTTCGACATTGGCTAATTCTTTCAATGACGTTATATTATTTTGTACTTGTTGGTAATTGTCTGTAACTTCATCGCCTCGTGACTCTATTTCCCCTCTATTCTCGGAAGGGATTTGATTCTCGTTCGTTAGAGGTGGAGCAAGAGGAAGGGGCGATTTAGAATTCTCGGAAATGGGTAATCCATTTGCGCGATCACCGTGGAGTGCGATTAAAGAGCTTATAGGTAATCCGGATAAATCGTAGCTTTCCCGCTTGCCGCCTTCGAAAAAGTAACTCTCCCCAAAATATTCAGGGATCGACTCTTGCTGTTTGGGGACATTGTCGCTGCCATTCACTATGTCATGTTTAACTTTCTCTTCGGTTGAGTCTTTGTTCTTTAAAGCTCCGGCGGTCATAGCGTTGCCTTTAACGCCATCTATATTGGGCATATCGGAAAAGGAAGTTATGTTTTGCCAACCTTTTTTAACGATAACAGGCATTTCGTTAACGTTCGTGACTGAGGAATTCCTCGATCTTTCATTACTTTTAATTTTATTGATGACTTGCAGCTCTTTCATCAGCGGGCTATTGTCAAAAAAATAGTAATCGTGTTCCTTCTCCCTAGGGTCCTCTTTCTCGCATACGATTTTATCATTCGTAGCTGTTAGAGCCTTTGCTTTACTCTTGCCATTGTTAGAACTTCGGATCGATGATTGCGCGCTAGTTGGGTCCAGCCTTTGGTTGTGTTCTTCCAGCTCTTGCATGAGGGGGCTTCCGTCGAAAAAGTAATAGGACGCAAAGTTTTCGGGCAAATTACTCAGATCGTATACCTTTTCGGTCCATCGCGCAGTGTCCTTACCGTTTCCCGAAATCCCTGTTTTAGCGCTAGCACTATTTTGACTCTCTTTCTCGAAAAATTTGGTAGCCCTCTTTTTTCTGGCAGTTTTGATTTTGATACTTGGCTTAGCTAACCTAAAGAGCCCATCTCTCACGGGAGAACTTTTGATGATAATTTTTTGGTCAGCACTACTCGATTTTTCTTTTAACGATGCTTCTCGCTTCAATCTCATTTCCTTTTCCGCTTTTTTGACGTCTAATTCCTTCATGAGGGGATTCTCTTCGTAGAAGTAATAACTAGCCTTCCTCGACCCAGGTTTCCCGACAGATACCTCATCTTCGATCATTCCTTTTTGGTATGATATACATGAGAAAGTAAGAAAATATTGTTTGATATGAAGAAAATAAAATAATTTAATTCAATACATGTATATTCATAAATAAGGGTTTATTTATAGCCGGTCATAGAATGAATGGTATAAATTAGTACATATATTAGAAACAAATGGAGAGAAAAATTGATAATAAATATTCCTCACCTTCCATCCCTCCAGTGCCTTTCACTTTCTTTTCCTGCAGTTCTTTCATCAAAGGATTTTCGTCGAAGAAGTAGAAATAAGAATCCTGGGGTTCAGATTTTCTCCTTACTTTAGAGTAATCATCACTGGTCACAATTAATTTAGAATCCAACCTTCCATAGGCATTAGCATCATTATCATTTTTACCAATCTCTACCAGATTTTTCGATTGCGATGTATCTCCTCGCGAAGGAACGATATCATTATCATCATTCTTGAAAGATTTATCTAATGGGTTCTCGTTCTTAGAGTCACCTACTTTCCTTTCCACGTCAACCGTTTCGGTTACTTTTTTATAAGTATCTGTATCGCCCTGAGTTTGACCGCTATTTTCATTGCCTATCGAATGTTGATTCTTAAATTTTCCCGCACCTGCTTTTGCTTCGTTCGGATCATTCTTCAGGTTCGCGATATCTTGCAGTATGTTAATACCAGAATGAACATGTTTGTCATTCCGCGTCGCCGTATATGGGCCGTTATTCACTCGCATTTGGGCAACGTTATCGTAATTGTTATAAGATCCAATATTATTCCCGTCATTCTGGTCCGAGCGTTCTCTTTCTTTCCGCTTGATGTAATCGTAAGTAGTGATACCTTTAATTTCTTTACAGTAATATATATGTAATATTTATATATATACACTATAACAATGTCGTTTAGGGGGGAGTTTTTATCATCACGTGTAAAGAGTTGCGTATTTATTAATTTTTTATTAAGATCCAATTTTTACAGGAATCGTATTCCAAGTGTATGAATATCATATGTGAAATTTTTTTTTAAAATTATTTTTAAATCTCTATCCAAAAAGGTATAAATTGTAGTTTTCATTGTTAAAAATTGTCTTAAATTCTCAAGGGTCGATACTCGATACAAATGATGAAATCGAAAATTTTTTCAAAAAAACACATTGTTTAAAATATTTTTACCGAAAACCTAATATTCTTATGACATAGACCTGCTATACAATGTGGTATCATCAGGTGATTCGGAAACTCAGATGACTGATTACTGAAGACGATTTATAAATTTTTTTAAAAAAAATTACCCTGATTTTAACCGGAAATGTTCTCACGGGTTTAGGATACCTATTTCCTGTGCGAACTTCGAAACAAAATTTTCCCGAAAGTTATGCAAACTATTACTTAATTTATATAGATTTTTCTTTCGAAATTTTATTGGAACAAAAACACGTGATCTTACCGAGAATTCATTCGGGCTGATATACAGAACCCTATCCTTACCCTTAGAACTTCTAAGCAATTTTGCCAGAATATTGACGAACTAAATCAGAATTTTTGTTATAGATTTATTCCTTTTTAATATTTTAATTTAACAAAAAAATGTCACACGAAATGTTTAATGGCGGAAGTTGTCCGTAATTTACAGGGTATTAAGTTAGTTCTTGTTGTATGTTCACTTATAAAAAAACTTCGCTTTCAAGTAAAAGGGCTTAAATATTTGAGGGATTTTTCGAAGCATATTATGATTTCATTTTTCGTAAATTTACTTATGTAGACATGAAACGAGGCTAAGTGGCCCAATATTAGGGTAGCAATCAGCGAAAACAAAAGCGTTATAACGATCAAACCGATCCAACCCCGGACACCCATTGGATGGGTGAAAAATTTGGAAAATTTAGGTGGCGATGCGTGTAATCCAATATTTTTGATTCTTTCGGTACTCATGAAACTGTGACTACTATCTTCGTAGTTATTGAGGACACGTGATTTTGACGTTAGGTAGGGTTCGCATTTTTCGATATAACGGTTGCCGTCCAAGTAAAAGTTCAGGAAGCTGGAAGTTAAGACACGTGTCAGTTTGGGACTGTCATTTTAGAGAAAAAAAAAAACAATTTTTTAAAATATATTTTTTTTCTATAGGGAACAAAATATATAGACGGAGGAGCTTCCTCTCATATATAAGTATCAAACGTTCGACCAAACGTCGATCAAAAAAGAAAATAGAATATTATGATACCTGGCATTATTCGGTAAAGTGATGTTTCTCATCGGAATGGCCATATCTTGATTATCCCTCTTGAAAATTTTGGTATTTTGAAGAGTCGGTTTCTGCGTTATAACTGGAGTTGAAACGTCATTCTCTAGAACCCTTCTTCTTACTGAAATGTCGCTGATACTACTGGAGAAACTCCCCCTACTTATATTGCTATCATAGTTATGAAAACGGTCGATTCGGAATATTTTATCATCAATTTTGCGTAGAATGTATGTCAAACCATTTGCCCCATTCTTCCCTTCATCGTCATATGTATCGTGATCCCTTTGGCCGCTGTATCCCGATATATTACTTGGTCCTTTATCACTAGTGGCATTTAGTGAATGGAACAACATTCTCCTGAAACCACGCCCAATTCGGCTGGCACTGGTGCTCACATTATAATCGTTCTCATTCCTGCCATTGTTATCCACTTTCGATAGCTTCTCGAACAGGAACCCTCTTCCGAATAGTGTCAGGCAGTCTTCCAGCACAGGATTTTTAATTTTTACTCTTCCGTCCTCGCTTACATTTATTTGGTTAATCATCGTATCCATTTCACTCTGGTGCATATTGTGATAATTCACGTAGATATAAAGACTCACCAGAGTCATAGACGCGCAGAATATCAAGAATGCAGCTATCAAGGATGATAAAATGCATATCGCGAACGGAGTATAATTTCTGCGGCCAACGCAGTTATTCAACCATCGACAATGGTGGTCGAACCCTACTATGCATTTGTTGCATTGACGACAATGTTTGGAGCTCGGGCTCACGAATACCTCACATAGATGGCAATAATAGGCCGAGCCGTTTTCTGGAAATTAGATGCAAATTATTTACAAATTTATATATTTGTTTTGAGCCAATTTAAAAATTATTTACTGTCCTTAATACTGATTCATTTATTTGTTAAATCACTATCTAAGTTATTATTTAAAAAAAAAAAATTTGTTTCTATCTTTCTTTCTTTCTTTCTTTCTTTCTTTCTTTCTTTCTTTCTTTCTTTCTTTCTTTCTTTCTTTCTTTCTTTCTTTCTTTCTTTCTTTCTTTCTTTCTTTCTTTCTTTCTTTCTTTCTTTCTTTCTTTCTTTCTTTCTTTCTTTCTTTCTTTCTTTCTTTCTTTCTTTCTTTCTTTCTTTCTTTCTTTCTTTCTTTCTTTCTTTCTTTCTTTCTTTCTTTCTTTCTTTCTTTCTTTCTTTCTTTCTTTCTTTCTTACTTTCTTTCTTTCTTTCTTTCTTTCTTTCTTTCTTTCTTTCTTTCTTTCTTTCTTTCTTTCTTTCTTTCTTTCTTTCTTTCGTAAGGACTGACGTGAAGTCTTGCATAGGAATGGAAGGAAGGAAGGAAGGAAGGAAGGAAGGAAGGAAGGAAGGAAGGAAGGAAGGAAGGAAGGAAGAAAGGGTTGAGGCTAAGCTTAACTTAGAAAAGTTCAAGTCATTTACATATGGCTATTAAACTTTAAGCCACATTGCACCCTGTCACGTGAGTTTGGGTCATTTTAAACAACATTAACTAAATAATAATATTAATAAGTATATAAACGTTACCTTATTTGCTAGAAGCGTGTAAAATTGATTGATGTTAAAATTAAAAATTGACATTTAAAAATTGATTAATCAATGTTATAACTTATTTTATAACGTCAGTAGAAGAGGAATACCGTAGAGGTAAAATAATTGTGCGAGAAAATTAAGAGAAAATATTACTATTTTTTTTTATTAATATAGATTCATAAGTTAAAGGGTGAATTGAAAAAATAATGACCACCTCATTACTCTTTAGAAGCGATCTCAATATGACGGTCCAAATAAAATGGCATATATATAACCTCCTACTGTCTTATTAGCGGCGTTGGTGGTCTCCATCCAAGGTGATGCTACGTGATTGGACGTGGCGGGAACTTGGAACAAAGGCATGTGATTGGTTCTAGTGGGTGTCAGGTGGTTAGTCATCTGCCTTACGGGGCTTTTGGTAATGGCGTGCGGATACAAATTTCTATCTAAGGTCGGAACCATCCTAGGAACTTTTATCTTCTTTTTCTTGTCGGGCTATTATATATATATGTGTATATAGTCATAAGTATGAAACAAAACTAGGTTTATAGAAAATTTCCAAAAGTTTTATATTCAGAGCTCTCAATGAAATATCAGGGAGTATTACTAAGAGAAGGGGGTGGTATTCATTTTGAGGGCACCGATCATTCATATCCAAGAATGGGATTCATATAATTCAATAATAAAGACTTCTTAGAGAACAACAATCAAATAATCCGTCTTACAAAAAAAAGAGACAACTGCTCATATTAGGGCCACATGGATGTAAGATTTTGTCAAAATTTAACCCGTACTTCGATCCCCAAAACTGCCGCCATTTTGTGGAATAATCTTCGACTTAGCCTCGCTTGGGATCTTTTGTCGCGAACGATTGCGTTATCCCTTTTTGAATTTGAACTATTTGATTCATTCGAGTTGGCGACTCCTAATTTAGCGATGTTCCCATTAGAAGTCGAGCTGTTGTTTGTGAGAGGACTGAGGGTAGTGCCTTTTTTAAATCTCCGATCGATTTGATTTGTTGTAGGATCTTGGGTGGAGGGTGAGGGGGGAACGGAAAAATTAAGTCAATTAACATGTATGTCATGATGGAATATGGAATCCACAAGAATGAATTGGGAATATTTCGATTTTTAAATCCCTTATATTGGATGCAAATTTTTTTAAAAATATTCTTAAAAGTATATTTAACCGGAAACCGGAAAAGCAATCCCAAGTGCTCAGAACGAGACAATTTTTGGTAATCAATCTTTCTGTATTTTCTAATATTTCTGTAATATAATAATCGATATAGTTTCACTTTACAGTGAAAATGTCTGAAATTCACGATGTTAGGTATTCCCTGCTCATGTTAGAATACATTTTGATCTAATCAGATCTTTAAAAATCCATCTCTTTCAATAAATGCTAAAATATATTGTGATGTTATAGCATTTTTTTTTTCAATTTTAGAAAAACGAAAATGCTAGATATATTTGGATGGGTGCGTAGAAATATACAATGGTCTCGATTGTATTCCTGGTGGAACAAATAGAATCGATAAGATTCTTCGGTGGGGGAAATCAGAAATATAAAATTAGATATAAAAAGAGATAGCACGAGTAATAAAGTGGAGAGAGATAGTGAAGGAGCTTACCACCGGAAAAAAAGGTGAAAGCTAAAAAGAAGAGGAAAAAAACATGTATGTCGTATTGGGATATGTGAAATCCATTAGGATTACTAAATCTAAATCTCTCAATATCAGGAAAAGTATTTCAGCATAAAAAAATGAAATTGGAATCAATTCAAAAATGGAGCTATCGAATTTGTTCGATTATTTTTTTTAAAAAAAATAAATTTAATTTACAAAAAAATAAAATGGGAAAATCTAAGTATAATTTATGATACCCTACAAATTCCAGGAAGTTGAATATAATAATAATCCATTTTAAATGATCATATGATCACGACAATACATTTCCGGTCAAATCAGATTCTCTAGCTTTAAAAAAAAAGATAGTCCTTCCGGGAATGATTCAAGATCGAATGATTCCATATCCCAAATGGGAACATACATATAATTGGAACTTCCATTTATAAAATATTAATAAAGAAATAAAAATTTTAAAAAAACCTAGATGTCTGCCAGATCCATTCTGTCTACTGTTATTATGGCTGTTGTCCGAACTTTCCGTTAGGCTGATTTCCTCTCGAACGCTGTGATCGACAGGGTCCTTCGTCATGGCCCAGAACATGGAGGCCAAAATGACGACGTATAAAACAGTCAAAACCTTTGGGTCGTTAAATTATTTTTTTAAGGAGATATTGGGCGAAAAAAAATATCGTTAGGAAATCGATTTACTATACCTTTTGAAAACGCTAGGTTTTAACGGGGGGGGGTCTCAAAATATTTTGGGCGGGGGGTTAAACCATAACCTCCAGGTAAGGGATCTGGTCAAAAATCAACAACGATGATGCTACATCGGGCTTCTGATACGATGATGAAACATAAGTATATCCCTAGAAGATCGTCATGAAGATGGGGGAGGGACACTTTTGGTGGGTGGCTCTATAGTTTCTTCCAAAGATAAATTTTTATTTTTGTGGGCTTCTTGTTTAATAGTTCGTAATACCCTTTAGAACGCTCAGAATAAATTGCTTAATGCTCAGAATCAATGTTCAGAATAGCCCAGAAAAAAAAGATACTAATTGTTTCTGGTATAAAACTAAAAAAAAAACGATAAGATTAAATATATGAAACTCCCAAGAACTGGTTAGTTTCTTCCAAAGATAAATTTTTATTTTTGTGGGCTTCTTGTTTAATAGTTCGTAATACCCTTTAAAACGCTCAGAATAAATGTTCAGAATAGCCCAGAAAACAAAAGATACTAATTGTTTCAGGTATAAAACTTAAAAAAAAAAACTATAAGATTAAATATATGAAACTCCCAAGAACTGGTTGCTTTAATCGGTGAGAAATTAATTTTTTTCTAAGTAAAATTGATTTTTTAAGAGTTTCTATATGTTTCCTTCCAGTTCTCACGGACTCCTGGAAACCTCTAATTTCAATGAAGATATTTCGTAATACTCTCCTTCTTCCCCTCTTTCCCCTGTAGTCGTAACTCCTTACCAGTTCCTCAATGAATTCTTTTGATTTATAAATTATGGTTCTTTGGTTAAATAGTCAAATAATATATCCGTGTTTCTAAATATTTAGAAAAGCTAAGAATGCCTCTAAATTACCTAAGTGATGAGTTTAAAAATGACATTTGTCAATTATCATATTTTTATAATAGGCTTTTTATGAGATTACCAATATTAAAAAAATATTATGTTAGAAATTTTTGTTCTAAGCTTCTCCATCCTACCCCGAATATCCTCTGGAGACGTTGAGCGATTATTAGATTGGCATCAAATGTAATCAATCAATCTCCTTATTATGTCGATATATAATGCCTAGGCATATTTTTAACCCTCAACCCTATTATTCATTATTCTCTTCATTAACTTTTTTATTTGACACGCATGCTTGCATCATGTTAGGAAATTTGATCTAGAGATATAGAGTGTTTACTCATATCTTTGTAATCAACTTGTCTGTTAATATATATGCGCACATTATAAATCTTACCTCCTCCAAAACCCTGGTTACATTGAGTATTTTAATTATCGATGTAATAGAATTTCTTTTTATTAGTTAGTTGTAAACCTCCCTTACCCCCCACCCCCACCGCCCATGACCTAGACCCGAGAGCACCGATCTTTAAAACAAGAGCATGAAAGAAAGAAAGCAAAGAAAGCAAAGAAAGAAAGAAAGAAAGAAAGAAAGAAAGAAAGAAAGAAAGAAAGAAAGAAAGAAAGAAAGAAAGAAAGAAAGAAAGAAAGAAAGAAAGAAGGAAAGAAAGAAAAGAAAAGAAAAGAAAAGAAAGAAAGAAAGAAAGAAAGAAAGAAAGAAGGAAAGAAAGAAGAAACTCATATAATTCATTCGTTGAACTTTATACTGATAAATATAAAACTCTGTAAATAGCAAATTTTTTTATGAGCCATTTAAGTTATTTCTTGCTGAGAAATTCTATAAAACATTTTTACTTTGCCAAAAATCGTCCTTGATTTTTAAGGGAAAATATAGGTTGAAATTCAATTATAAAATCCTTGGCCTTTAATGTATATCATATATTTTTTTTTAAAAATAATTCCGAACAAATTAGTCAGTAAAAAGTTATCATAAATATCAGAGTTGTTAAAGGGTCTAGATACTTGTATCTAGATCCTGTATCTAGATATAAAAATGTGGTATCGGTGTCTGAATCTAGATAGATTTTTGATTAAAATATCGGTATCTAGATATTATTTTAGACGATGTATCTGTATCTAGATCCATTTAAAAAGTATCTTTTAACAACTCTGATAAATATCATATGCGTGTTATTGTCCCATTAGCGTTTGTTGAAACAAAGGGCTCTAACCCAATATTTTATCCAGAAAAATATTACTCTAGAGCCCGAAGATTTTGCCCATAGAAGGAACAAAGGTTCGAGGCCCAGGGAGATAATTTATCCGGCTAAAAATATTGAGTTAGCCCCTTAAAAAGAGCGTTTAACAACGCGAGTTAGCTATGTCCCACAACCTCTCTAAAAGAACTTAAGGCGGGATAAAATTTTAGTTTCTCTTTAAACTCATTTTTTAGGTAAGTGTGGGGTGAGGTTGAGCTGACGGGCGACGGGCGGGCGAATGGGTTGGTTGGGGGGTGGTGGTGTAAAGGGGTATATTTTTTTTATTATCGGTATCATTTGATATTTAACTAAAATTTGTGTAATTTATCGAAGAGGAAAGACCTTGATTTAAAGGCCATTTACAAAAAATATCTCAACTTAATATTTCTTAAAATTAATTATTTTTTTTTTATAAATTGATATATATATTATATTATATTAATATAAATATATATATATATATAAAAAAGAGAAATCTTTTGTCAAATTTTTTAATTTTTTTTTTTTTATTGAAATCTATATTTTAAAAAAATTTTGCCAGGTAATTTGCTATATTTTATTTATAATCATATTAAATATCAATTATTTTATTATAATTTATATTTTTTGTTTAAAAAATCGATATTTTTTTCTCCTCTAAATATAAAATTAATTAAATTGAAATTTGGGATCTAACTATTTTTCCCATTTCCTTCCTTCCTTCCTTCCTTCTTCCTTCCTTCCTTCCTTCCTTCCTTCCTTCCTTCCTTCCTTCCTTCCTTCCTTCCTTCCTTCCTTCCTTCCTTCCTTCCTTCCTTCCTTCCTCTCTATCCCCCTCTTATATAATTCTTCATCATTTTTTCATTGGTTAGTCTGGTCCATATGCTATTGCACGTGACCATATCTTTTGGGTCAACAAGACTAAGCTCTCTATTATATAGACATTTTTGATTTTGTACATGGTGGATTTCCTTATTATATGGTCATAATTTTCCACGAGGCATACTTTTATTTAAAATAAAGTTTTCCTGGCTTCAAAATTAAAGGATAAACCTTCTTACAATTAATAATAAATTTATATTATATAGATACCGATAACCCCCCCCCCCCCTTCCCCAACTCTTCCAAAAAGAAAATGAAGGAGAAGAGATGCCGAATGACATTTATCAATTGATTTAAAATGACAGCTGTCTGTTAAATTATTAATAAGTGAAAGAACGCTTTATAACTCTTCAGAAGAAACTCAATCATTTAATTTCTAACAGTATAGTAGATTTAGTGCAACATGCAATTTCCGGTATAAACAGCTGATGGATTTAATAAATGATAATCTTTTGATTATTGTATTAATATAAAAAAATTTTTTATTTAATAATCATTAGCAGGATCAGTTCCTTTTGAGACCAATGTAACAGTTCAGATCCAATAAACCTTTGATAAATTGACCCTGTTGTATCTTTTCTCTTCTAATCTCATCAAAATTATAAAGAATCTGTTTTAGAACTTTACGAGAATTTTAACCAATCAGACCATAGGACAGGACTTTAATAATTAGTTTTCCAAGTTTCAAAACAACACAATTTCATTTGCCCGACATTTAAAATATATAATGTCGTAGAGCTGTAGAGTATCATACTGAGAATTAAGTATCTTCGATCTTAGTTACAAGATACATTTTTTATGAAGAAAAAAAAATGAAATAAATATTCTGATTAATATTTTTATAAAATTAGAAAATTTAAAAAAGAAAAAAATTTAATAAAATTTATTGTCCAAAGAATACGATAATTTTTAATCTTTTCGAACGAGTTAAAAAGATAAACGTCGTATAAATAACATTGAATTCTGCTGTTTATTTCTAAGAAGAACTAAATTCTTGGATCCACTTTCAATTTAAATCTATTTTCGTTACATTTTCCATAAATTTCATCACAAAAAACTGTTTAACATTTATAGGACAGGTACACTCCTGTTATGAAAATGCTTAAAAATGTCAAAGATTCAGATACACCCAACACACACACTCACAAATATATATTTAGAAATATATATATTTAGCAAAATTAAAAAAAAAATTAATATACCGTATAAAGAAGAATGTTCCAAGGATTGGGAAAGGAAGAACACAGAGTCCCATATATGACGATACCGAAATAGGTCAAAAAAAACGCGGCGATCAATTGAAAAGGATGAGGGGGCATGGTCCATCCATTATGACGAGGATACATTCTCGCTTGCTTCTCATTGCCATTTTTTATCCTTCGAGTTACCTTAGGGGATTGTACCCTTATTTCCGGTCTAGTAAAACGTGACGATACAGATGTACCCGTTTCTATTTTAGGCGCGACATTTGAGGTAGTAGATAATTGAATATTCGCGTTCCTCGGAGCAGACGGTTCAGATTTCGGAATGGGAGCAGATGTTAATGAAACACGTTTTTTCCCGAGGCGTTGAGCGGAAAATGAGTTGTCATTAAAATATTTTTGAGTGACACCGGAAGGAGACCTTGAAAATATAAAATTTGGTCTCTGGGGTTGAGCAGACGATGATAAGCGAATAGTCTTATCTTTTAAACCAGAATATGTACATTGATCTATCGGCTGTGCCTCTACCAATGACGGAATGACTTTCAATGCTACATTTGAAAGAGACGATACATTAGCGTCTGGATTTGTCGGAGCGGAAGATGATAAAAGAACGTGTTGTTTAGGAGGCGAAACCGACGAAAGCGGAATTTCTTCTACGATTTTCAAAATCACTTCCGGTTTTTTCGTCTCAGGCATGGTAGTGTCCGAAATAACTTTCACCTTTTCATCAACCGAAAACACTGCATTCTTCCCGTTAAGATGATCACAATTAGAAATGGACATCAATATGCATCCATTATTAGACCTATCGCTATTGTTTATATCAGATTTTACAAGTTCAGGTTCTCGGGAAAATGTACCACTTCTTTGATATTCTATTTTTCTGACACCTCGAGGAGTTAAATGATCAGGATCGCCTTCGTTATTTACTAATCGAGGAAAAATGGCGCTTGCAGCTGACGACGAATTTAAACCGATTCCATTAACATTTAATTCGCAATGATTATTCGCCAGATCCAAATTTTGCTTTTTAGATATTTCAGCCTTTTTCATTTTTTTTCTTTGGCACTAAAAGTGGGAAGACATTAGGAGCCAGAACTTATAACATAATTTTCCGATTATTGTTTCGCTTTCAATTCCTAGGTTTGAAAAGGGGAAGTTGAAAAAGATGTAACCATTTTTTTTTGCAATTATGTCTAATCTTAGGGAAAATATTATTTACGAAATCTACATCCGGTTTATTATTTACAAGAATAATGCAGGAAGAGGGGGGGGGGTTAGTTTAATCTATTTCCGGTCGATTTGGAAATAACTTCTCTAAAATTTTCAAAAATATATGTATATTATATCGATTCTTAATCCACATTAAAACGAATGCTGTGTTGTGAGTTGATTATATAGTGCTATTTTTTCCTGATTTAGAAAATATATATTTTGTTTCATTGATTTGGCACGAATCGCTAAAAATAATGTATTAAAATTTATTATATCTTTCATCTTCGAAATAATTTTGTTGAAGGGTTTAATAAATTCTTGACTATCGTTTTGGAATCATAAACCGGGGTTAAATGGTCCATCATAAGTTATAATGTATATAGTGCTATTCTTTCGTGATTTAGAAAATATATATTTTGTTTCATTGATTTGGCACGAATGGCTAAAATAATGTATTTAAAATTTATTATATCTTTCATCTTCGAAATAATTTTGTTGAAGGGTTTAATAAATTCGTGACTATCGTTTTGGAATCACAAACCGGGGTTAAATGGTCCATCATAATTATTGTTTCATATTTTATAAATATTTGATGGCGGCGAAATAGTGATAAATCTTGCACGATAGAAATTACCCAAAGTAATCTTCGATGGAACAGGTGGTGGTGGGGTCATTAATTTTATAAACCCATTTATCGTGATTTGTCATATCGGAATGGATAAATCGAACCCCGGGGAAAATTTGCATTTGGCTAACAAAAAAAAAACACGATCTTTGAAAAGGCAAGAATTTTGGTCCTTCCTTGATAATTATCTATATTCAAATTATAATGGTAGAGATTATAAAGGTAACCTAACATGGTAACGTTTTTTAAAAAACTTATGCAAGTAAATTCTAATTTGTTGTTGTAGAAGGGCTAACCACGCCAGCCTGAAGATTTTGCTCAGAGATGGGCACCTAGGTCTAGAGATCTATCGAGCGAAATCTCTATTTTCTGGCTTAAGACATTGAGTTAGCCGTATTTAAAGATCGGCGCAGAGAACTCGTCGTTTAACAACTACTACTATTATATAAATATTACGTAATTTGGGATATGTTTAAAATCACTTATCGAGGTTAAAATTTTTAAATTTCGAAAAAAGTCTAAATTTAACAGGAAAAGTGGTTCTGCGTATATAGGGGGGTCATTACTCACACTGTGAATTTCAGAACAATTTTTACCACGAACCTTTGAACTAGTGATAAGGAAAATTGTATAAAAATTAGTAGGGTATCTAATCCTACGCATGCTGGATCAGGGTCTAACCAGAATTTTAAAAATCAACTATCGTGTAAATGATTAACATTTTGAGAGATTCCGAATTCCCGTAGATTCCATATCCCAAATGGGAACATATATAATAGATGATCAAAATCAACATTGCTTCTAATATTTGCCCATCTTTTCTCTTAATTTACAAAAAATAGGGATAAATTCGAAATTGATTAGCCGTTAAATAATCTAAAAATAAAAAAATCTATACTAGAAAATTTTAGTTATGCAGTGCGCCCGCGCATCTATGACGATGCGTATGTCGTAGAGATCTGACAAATTAGGAACGATGCTTCACAAACAGCTGATTTTGATAAATTTCTAAACACTTTAATCATTCGTATAGCGCGCGCTTTTAAATTTTTTGGGGAAAATATTTTTTTTTATTTTGCCGGAGTTAGTGGCTGCATTCATAGCGGGATCCGATCCGACAACAGCTGATCCATTTTTAAAAAAAAAATCTTTTTCTTTATCAAAGATTTTTTTTTAGATTTAACTAATCATGAATGGAATTTCCGGATAAAAATTATCGCACAACCAAAGAAAGATTGATCTCATAAAACAGATTTCGACAAATCGATCAGCTGTTAAATCGTATCGGATCGGATCGGAACTCGATGCAAACTAGAATAATTCCAGATTAAAAAAAAACACGCTCACTTAAATGATTCAAGTTTTTTTAGAGATTTACTAAAAACTCAGATATCTTTAAACTCCAAAAGATATCCCTAACCCTTAATCCTAACCCCAAGCCTAACCCTCATCACTTATGTACTCCTCCTCCATTATTCTAAATACATAGCGGAAATTTATGAAAATCAGGAAATGTAGACTGGTAAAGGTTTATCGGAAATAAATCATAAATAAAAAAAAATCTAATTTAGGGATGTTTCGTCTAGACAACATATATATATCTAAATGTAATGCCTTTTTTGTTTTATTGAATATATATATATATATACATTTTTTTTCTGGTTGGAGGGAAATGCGAGAGGTATATGTAAAAAAATAATAATAAGGATAATATAGGCTTAAACTGAAGCAATCTAGATAATATAGGCTTAAACTGAAGCAATATAGATAATATAGGCTTAAACTGAAGCTATCTAGATAATATAGACTTAAACTGAAGCAATCTAGATAATATAGACTTAAACTGAAGCAATCTAGATAATATAGGCTAAAATTGAAGCAATCTAGATAATATAGGCTTAAACTGAAGCAATCTATAGATAGAGTTTCCGCTACGAATTTTAGATAGAACTTTTTGTATCACTATCTCTTTTAAAATTTTTTATATAAATTTAACTTTAAATAAACGAAGTTCGTGACAAAATTGTGTAAAACTTAAAGGGTAAGTGTTACCTTATACATGCTAGATATACAATTTTCGAGTAAAAAATTAGCTCTTTTGAAAATTCTAAACAATCTCCCCAGCAAATATATTCAAAATTGAGAATTTTCCAAATCTCTAATGGATTCGGACTCCCCGTTCAACATTGATCATAAAGTGAGCAAAAAACGTAATTTATCATGCGTTGAGTTAAATCTCTCTCTCTCCTCTTTCTTTCTCCTCCTTCTTTCTTTCTTTCTTTCTTTCTTTCTTTCTTTCTTTCTTTCTTTCTTTCTTTCTTTCTTTCTTTCTTTCTTTCTTTCTTTCTTTCTTTCTTTCTTTCTTTCTTTCTTTCTTTCTTTCTTTCTTTCTTTCTTTCTTTCTTTCTTTCTTTCTTTCTTTCTTTCTTTCTTTCTTTCTTTCTTTCTTTCTTTCTTTCTTTCTTTCTTTCTTTCTTTCTTTCTTTCTTTCTTTCTTTCTTTCTTTCTTTCTTTCTTTCTTTCTTTCTTTCTTTCTTTCTTTCTTTCTTTCTTTCCTTCTTTCTTTCTTTCTTTCCTTCTTTCTTTCCTTCTTTCTTACAATTTTAGGGAAAGGGGGGGGGGACTTTTGTGTATTTTTCTTTAAAAAAATCATTTATAATGAAAAAAATATATAAAAATTAAAAATACTAATTTATAAGTAATTTAAAAAAAAAAAATTTTTTTTCGAACAAAAAAAAATTAACTGAAATATAAAGGGTTAGATATACTGTACACGTGTTAAAAAGGCATTTCCGGTCAAATCATATGTTTAAAAAAAATATTATGAAATCGCTGTAAATGAGAATTCGGTTACCCTTGGTTGCGTTTTTAAACGGCTCGATTTGAGGCGATATTTCAGAAACGGCTAACTTAATGTTTTAGCGAGAAAAATATCGCACCCTAATCCTTGAGTTTTAGCTAATGGATCTTTAAAATCTTTGTTTGTGCCATCCATGAACAAAAATCTTCAGGATCGCGTAATAATTTTCTGGTAAAAATATTGAATTAATCGCTTTTTAAAAAAAATGGGCCATAAAATTGATAGGATTTAAAGGAAACAATATATAATATGTTTGTTACTGCGTCACGATTCAGATCATGTTATTTAAATTCAACTGGAATCAATATCACTAATGGGACCAAGAAGCCGTATCCTATCCAGTGATATATGTATATATTTATATACACTAGCCAGGTTGGCTATCAAGCTTAAATGTGATACGCACGTAGAATAAATGCCGTTATTAACTGGATATTTAGTCGACGGTATAAGAGAGTAAAATAATTTCTTACAACTGAAACCAATGTTATATATATACACTTTTATAGGAATACATTTTTTTAGTGTGTTTTTTTTCGGACAATGTGTCACTTTTTCAACTTTCAATCACTTTTTTGAGCGTCCTTTTTTCTGTAAAAATTTATGAGCCCAATTTTAACCGGAAATGAACGTATTCCATTACGTTTGGAATAACTATCCTACGAATTTCGTACAACCTTTCCAATGAACATTTGAAAAACTCAATTTAATTTATTTTTAGTTTCTCCATAGATTTTTTTTTTTTTCACATAAATTATAACTGATTCGAAGGTTTTAGACTATAGAATTATCTACAATTCTTGATATAATAGGTATTCTAAACATGCCTGATTTACATTTTCGGTTAAAATTATATTTTTAAAATTATACAAAAATGGGGGCTCAAAAAAAATGAATTTAAAGTTTAAAAAAAAAATATAACGCGATGCAGGAAAAAGACAGCCGCTAAAGTTTATATAATATATATTAATTGATTCCCAAGGAAACCAATTTTTTTTTTGTTCGCCGGAATTAGATTTACGAATGCATTATACCGCTAATGCCGATTATCGCCAAGTATTTATTTCCGCATTATGCCGCATTTATAGTAAACGCGATTTAGCATGATGCGATGCGACGTTAATCGCTCGCTGCGTAAATTTACAAAATGCAAGGCTATCAATAGGTATAAAAATTTATAAATATGTAAGTATATCAACGACCTCGCCTTATACTCTCCTTTTTTTCCTGTTGTTTTTCAGAGAAAATTAGGAGTAATTGAACGAAAAGACCCGATATACCACGTTAAAATATCTTCTATTTATTATACCATATGTTCGCTAACAGTAAAACATTTTTCTGGAACGAACCCAAATTATCTACTTGATTATGATATAACAGATTATTGATCCAAACTGGGGGACGGTCCTCTAGTATATTAAATCATTTTTACATTTTTTTAATCATAAATATGGGACTAG